ATAACTGGCATAAAGCTGATTAAAAAAAAACCCTCAAAGAAGATGTTGAAAAGTAAAGAAAATTATGTCTGAGCAACATAGTTATTACAATAAATAGAAAACCAAAAATAAAATTTCTGGAGCTAAAAAGCTCAACAACTGAAATGAAAAATTAACTAGAGAATTCAAAGGCAGATTTAATCAGGCAGAAGAAAGAATTAGTAAACAGGACAGTGGATATTATGAAGTTGAGGAGCAGAAAGAAAAATAACTAAAGAAAAATTAACTGAGCCTAAGGGACCTGTGGATTAACATATGCGTTGTGGGAATCCCAAATAGAGAAGAGAGAAAGGGACAGAGAGAGCTTTCCAAATTTGATGAAAGGTATAAACACCATAGAAGCTTAATGAATTCCAAGAAAGGTCCAGACTGGAATATATTATAATTAGACTTTCAAAAGGCAAGGGTAAAATCTTGAAAGCAGCAACCAAGAAATAACTCATCACATACAAAGAATCCTCAATAAAATTATAAATTGTGGAGGCCAGAAAACTGTAGTATTTGGCATGTAAGATAAATTCCTTGTAAATATGTATATATTTCATAAGTATATACTTTTTCTTTCTTCTTGTCTAATTGCAATAGCTAATACTTCCAGTACTATGTGGAATAGGAGTGGTGAGAATGGGCATCCCTGTCTTTTCCTGTTTTTAGGGGAAATAGTTTTAGTTTTTGCCCATCAAGTATGGCTTTGGGTTTGTCATATATGGCTTTTATTATGTTGAGGTATGATCCTTCTATTCCCACCTTGCTGAGAGTTTTTATCAAGGGTGTTGGATTTTGTCAAATGCTTTTTATGCATCAATTGATATGACTATGTGATTTTTATCTCTAAATTTATGTGCTGTATCACGTTTATTGATTTGTGGATATTGTACTATCCTTGCATCCCTGGGATAAATCCTACCTGGTCATGGTGTATAATCTTTCTGATGTACTGCTGGATCCGATTTGCTAGAATTTTGCTGAGGATTTTGGCATCTATGTTCATGAGGGATATTGGCCTGTAATTCTCTTTCATTGTGTTGTCTTTATCTGGTTTTGGTATTAGGGTGATGCTGGCTTCATAGAAGGAACTTGGAAGTGTTCCTTCCTCTTGAATATTTTGGAATAGTCTGAGGGGGATAGGATACTTCTTCCCTGTTTGGTAAAACTCCCCTGTGAATCCCTCTGGCCCTGGGCTTTTGGCTTTTGTTTGCTGGAAGTTTTGTTTTTTGGTTTTTGGTTTTTTTAGAGAGGAAGAGAGAGGAATAGAGAGTTAAAAACACCGATGAAAGAGAATCATCAATCAGCTGCCTCTTGCACTCCCCCCCCCCCCCCCCCCCCCCCGAGGATGTGCTCAGAACCAAAGTACATGCCCTTGACCAGAATCAAACCTGGGACCCTCCAGTCCACAGGCCAACACTCTATCCACTGAGCCAAACTGTTTTTGGCTGCTGGAAGCTTTTTGATGACTGCTTCAATTTCTTCCATAGTTATTGGCCTGTTGAGATTTTTAGATTCTTCCTGATTGAGTTTTGTATTTTTCTAGGAATATGTCCATTTCCTCCAGGTTGTCCAGTTTGTTGGAATAGAGTTGATTATAGTATTTTGTAACAATCCTTGTATTTCTGTGGGGTCTGTTCTTATTTCATTTCTGATTTTTTTCATTTGGGTCCTCTCTCTTTGCTTCTTAGTGAGCCTGGCTAGAGCTTCATTAATCTTATTTATCCTTTCAAAGAACCAGATCTTGGTTTTGCTGATCTTTTATATTTTTTATTTTTTTGTTTCTATGTCCTTTATCTCCACTCTGATTTTTATTATTTCCTTCCTTCTGCTTACACTGGGCTTTTCTTCTTTTCTTGTTGCTCTCTTTCTAACTCTTTGAGTTGTAGGGTTAGGTAATTTATTACCATTGTTTTTTGTTTTGTTTTTGTTTGTGTATGTGTGTGTGTGTGTGTGTGTGTTTCAGTAGGCTTATAGAGCTATGAACTTCCCTCTCAAGACTGCTTTCACTGTGTCCCATAGATTTTGGATTGTTGTGTTTTCATTATCATTTGTTTTATATGATGTTTTATATTTCTTTTTTGATTTCTCTGGTAACCCAGTCATTGTTTAATAGCAGGCTATTTAGTCTCTAGGTGTTTGATTTTTTTGGATTGTTTATGCTCATTCCTCTTAAGAGCCATCCATGCCTCCTCTTTTTTGAACTCGGGATCAATACTAGTAATTACAGTGACAGTACGCCATAGCCTGAGCAGAGGAATAGAGCACCTATATCAGAAAAAAAAATAACTCTCACACACTAAAGTCTAAGACTTGGGCTATCATTGTGACTGGAAACTGAAGAAACATGTGAAAGTGGATCTTTAAAGTATTGAGCCAGGGACACCTGAATAAACCTGCATAAAGAACAACTTATTGACAGAGTAGCACTCTAGTGATTCAAGATTTAAAGTCTTAGCAAGGAGTCCTAGAGGCGGTCCTGATAACCTCCTTGAAAGGGTGTGGTAAGTTTTGTTCTTTGGGAAGCATACTCTAGAATCTAGATGGAGATTAGTATTCAGGAAAGGTATTAATGAGTACTCTCAGAATCAACCCTGTAAAAGGAATCAAAACTGAACCAAGGAAGTAGGTGGGTCACAATGCAGGTTCAACAAAGCCATTTTGAGGAACTCTGAAGATGGGCTCGGCCTTCAGAGTTACTAAAGTGGACAGACCAACCCTTTATACCTACACAATTCTCAGGCATTGGGTGTAGGTTGCCCCCTTTGGGGCTCACAAAACTGGTGAACAAGCAGATTCATCACACTGGTGTGAGAAGGGAGGGTTGCAATTACATAATAGGAGGCAAGAAGCAGCATATCTGGAATCCAAGGGATTCATTTAGCAACTCTTTGTTCTTCCATACCCAAGGATAAGTGGGCAAATTCAGTAACTATGGCTCAAGAAGCATAACATTTTTGTTGGTGTGAAGGTCTGTGTCACACTTTCTTAGGGAAGCAACCTAGACCCACTGATGTATTGGTGCAATGCTAAGATTTGAAATGCATAATGGAAAGGGCAAGGTGACAAATATCAATCATAGCTTCAGAAGCAGCTGCAACAGTGGAGCGTACCTTGCTCCACCACTCCTCTGTAATTTGTTGAGATTATAGCCTGTCATGATGTCGAAGGCTATGATGAAATAGATTTAACAGTGGGTCCAAAGCGATCTCAGTGGTTCAAATGGGTACACTGTGTGTAACTCTTCTGTGTTGACTCCCACGAAGTCTCAACTCCCTTTCTTACTCTCACCACTGCCTTGGCAACCAGTTGCACACAAGTTTAACTTAATAACACTTTGCCTCAGCCACACCAAATGCTTGCTTTCTTCACCTCACCACCCCATTTCCCCACTATTATTGTATGAGATGCCTGTAGGAACCTTAGTAAATTCAACTGATGTACAAACCTGGATAGGAAAAGGAATTAGTACACATGGGGTAACTGTTCCCTCATGGGAGATGGAGCCTACCAATAAATTCTTTTCCATCCTTCGTGAAAACATTCTATCTGCTCCTCAGAAGGTCTGTGTCAGCTTTGAGGCCCAGTTGCTCACAGAATGACCAGCTCAATAATGTTCCCTTGACTTGGCCTTCTCTCATTCCCAATTTTATTTTTCCTACTCCCCTACTCTGCTTTCACGGGATCATGTCTCCAAATCAACTACCTGCAGTCAAGCCTTGGTGTCAGTTCTTCGACAGAACCATTTCTTGAGATTTAGTTTCTTATATCCATTTTACCAATGAGGACGCATTTTATCCAAGGTCACATGGTGAAATGCAAGGACACTTGGTGAATGTCATAACTGCCTTATCTTAGGAGTCTATTCTTTATAAGGCAGTATCCTAAAAGTTGTTTCCTTCAAGATCCACTTAAGGGGGGAGTGATTGTACTTTTGGAGAACTTCAAGGCTGGACATCAAGGTCTCTGCAAAGAGATGGTCCTTGGGTCCAGGACAGGATCACATTGATACCTTAGTAGAAAAAAAAATCTATAGGCACTAAGCATTCAGCTAGAGATTTGCCAATGTTAGTAATCTCTTCCAAAATAAGCTGCCATTATCTTCTCTAAGCACCTATGAAGCTACACAATTGTTTCATTCTCTTCAATGATAATCTGGTCTTTATAACACCCTATCTTAAAATCATTTTTCAACTAGATGTCCCTAAACATAGTTTTCAGAATTTCTAATTACTTTGCTGTACCTTTCCCCCTCCTAACATTCCAAGGTTTTAAGATAACCTTTACTCTGACTTAACACTTCAATGTTTTCTCCTGTGTCAGAAATAGGTTTGGAATGTGAATTCTTAGAGTGGGACTCTGTCCATCTTATATCTCCCCAAACATTTTGTATATAGTATTTTTTGTTGAATGAACTTACTCTAGGTCTTGGCAGGTCCACCTCTGAATATTGATTACTCAGATCTGTCCGAGGATGTCTAGCAGTCAGGATGGGCTAGATTATCATATCCCTTAATAAACCTTCATTGTATTCAGACACTGTGATTTAGCAGTTGTTTCTCATTCACACTACATGTCCTATGTAGGAGTTCTGCTCATCAGTCACTCAAGGATCTAGGATGAAAGGTTTGATCTCCACGTTTGTATGATCACCATGGCAAGGAAAGAGAATATGGCAAATTACACACTGGCTCTTAAAGCGCCACTCAGAAGTGACACATGCCAAAGTAAGTCTTTTTACTCAGATTTCTACAGCCAAAGTAAGTCTCATAATTATGACTAACTTCTGAACCTATTCAAAACAAAGTAGGGCTTGAGTAGTAATGTAGTTTCCACCAGAAAAAAATGTATCAGGAATTTGTAATTTTTTGCCTGAATTACCTTGGCTCTCCCTAATTCACTTTGTAAGAGATGCACTGACCTGAATGCAGACATTTACACTGCACACATAAATAGTAAAAAACCAACACAAGGTATGCAGTTGCAAAATGGCCATTTATTGCCTACAGGGAAAGAAAAGTGAGGGAGAGAAGGGAAGTACACAGGTGCAAGGAAACAAGCATATATTTAGCCCTATACATCATGTGTGAGCAGTACCCAATCTCCAAAATGGAAAAAAGTATTTTGTCATCTGACATAATAGTTAAGGTTCTTAAGCACCTCCCTTCTGAGCTGCCACGGATTTAAAAGGCAGGACTGCTTTGTTTAGTCAATGTTCACATTAATGAAAAAATACTACCACCCAACTGTGTCCTTTTGCACACACATTTTGTACAGTGTCTATTGTGAAAAACATCTCAGCTGAGCAGCTTGGTCAAGATTCAGACCTCATCAACTGTTTAACTGTAATAAATAGAAAAATAAATCAGCTGGTGATTTTGTCAAGGAGAATGTGTTCAATAAGAATAGAACCACTTTCTCCAGGGATGACAGTGTTAAATGATTAGAACACTACATAACCAATCTATTAAACATTAAACACTAGTAAGCTACAATTACATGGCACTTCATTAAATCTAATTTTAAGAAAAGAAAATCTTAGATTTTTAAACTGATTAGAATACAATAACAAATTAATTTAGTGCTAGACTTTTTTTTTTTTTTTTTTAGAACAAAAGCAAAATAAATATGCAACATAAAACAGATTTGTTCTGGAATAGTATCAATAGAAACTACCAAGTATTCAAGAAGGGGAAAATACAAAAACAACTTGCTCAGTTTTAAACTCATGTGCTTTGCTTTCAACCATTAATTGAGTTACAAAAACACTTTATAGGCCACAGAATGACTCAAATGTATGCAAAACAATCAATTTAATGCCAAGTACTGAAAATAAATGAACCCTTCCCAATTCAAATGGTAAACTGAGTCAAAGAGGTCATCTCATGGACAATGAGTTGGCACTTGTTTTATAGTCAACAGAAATCACAATATAAAATACAAATTAATCCATGGTGAATGTGACCAACGCTTGGTCCTTTCAGAGAGAAAAAGTACATATGTACACTCTTTGTCTTAAAACAGACTCCATTCACACCACCCCACTAGAGATAAATGCAAAGTTGAAATGTTCATCTTCCTCGAAATATTCCAAGTGCTCCAATAAACTCTATTCCTTAGCTTCTCCTAGATGAAAGGATTGCTTGCATTTGGACAGCTGTACAAATGCCCATAGTGCACTTCTCAGTGCTGCTGGTGTTTAAGAAATTTGCCACAACAATTTCAGATCCAGTGTGCAGCAACACAGCCATCCAAAGCCTCCTCCAAAGGTTGGCAGAGCACCGCTCAGGAATTTCACAGGTAAGGGAATATATTTTTAGCAAGTTAAGCAGAGAAAGGACAGTACAGTTTCTGCATACACACCCAGACTATTGTATCACTTACTGCATCAAGATTGAAACGAGTAGCAGGAAACTAAGCTTATTCAGTAAGAAGCAAAGCCATTATTTGACACATCAGCACTGAGCCAATCATGTGAGCTAAGACAACTAGTTAAACAAATGTGGTACATATAACCACTGATAGCTTGAAAGAAACAGTCATATACCAGTAATTAGAAATTAACACAAAACTGAAATGAGCAAGAAAGGACCACTTTTTATGCTTCAGAGTTAAAAGTAACAGATATACCAACAGGGAAATTATCTAAATTCAGGGAGATTGGTATAAAAAAATAACTAAACTATGTCTTCTGAAAGTTTATGAAAGCTGAATGTACCAAGGCCAAAAGAATATCATTGGCATTTGCATATGCTTTTCATAATATGATTTATGATGACACAACTTAATTTCAATATAATGCTGAATTTATACTTATGTTCCATAAAAATTAACATTTAATAGGCAGAAATGTCCTTATTTCATATGCTTTGAAAGTAAGCACTATTTTACTTAAAAACTTCCATTGTTTCAATAGCATAATCTTTGTTGAATAAAAGCTCAACATGCTTGTTTTCCTTTGGTTCCAAGAATAACCCAAGTCTAACCAAACTTATGCAAAAAACAAACAAACAAAAAACTAACTAGGTTAATAAAGCTTGCTTTTCCTGGTGTCTCCCTCTTTCTGGCTGTAGGACCTGTGGTTTAAGAAAGAAACTTGCATAAGGAGGGTATTTGGTTAAAACAAGAAACATGCATGTACCCCCTTACCACCTTCTTAAAAAGAAATGTTTGAATTTTCCCCCCCTTTCTTTCTGTGGATCTTATTCAGAACATCCTGCAGTATAGGTAGAAGAGTTTTCTCTGTACCTTTAAGCTTTAAGTGACATTACATAATAAAGATTTACATATTCTGTAAAATGAAAGATGCTCTTGGCATCCTGTTCTTAAACAGAGTACAACTTTGGTAAATAAGCCAAGGTATAGATGTACTAATTTATTTATGCTTGAATTCAAATTTGGTGAATCATTCAAAGCAAACATAGTATAAAATTTCTTTTCTGTGATTCAAACAACTTTAAAACTTTAGTTGAAGTTCCTGGCTTAGAAAAATATTCTCATCTCCCCAGTTAATTTGTCTACCTATAATTCAGGGTTCTACAAAAATGATACAATTAATAAGGGTTAAACAAATCTTTTTACACACATTTACAATAGAAAAGTGAATTTTTTTTTTTTTTTAAGAAGAAGATAGGTGGGAAAGTGACTGCCTTACAAATGTGAAAATTCACTTTTCTGTCAAAATATAATCATGGATGAATGCTATTTTGAAAATGTACTGTAAAGTCTTTGCTTGCTATAAACCATTATTTTCATGGCCTGCCAAAGGTATCAGAAACTGATGATATTTTCTGGGACTGAAGCTACTAATTAGTCAATGTGTTTTACAAAGCTATTAAAAATCCCTCAGAAACTCAGAATATAAGACCTTAGAAACAAGTATTGGGACACAGTTGACTTTCATTGCTATAACATCTAACCTTGAATTTAGAAATGATGAACCTATGTCTCTGGTTGTATGGAACACATTTGACCTATATTTTTCTTGTGCTTTCTCTATGCCCTGCTATTTGAAATTGAAAGTATAGATGGCATTAGTGATTTTTAGAAACTTTTAGAAATTCAACAAACTTAAATTTTCATCCATTTAACTATACTTACGAGATACAATTTTTAAATGGATCACAATCATTTGCCCGTGTTCCAGTTTTAATGTGCCACATCCTCAATTCTAATATAACCCACCATGGAATCAAGTGATATAAGCCTCAGATATTGTTCAACTTTCTCCTTGCTTCTCTGGCATTTAATATATAACTTTAAGACACCAAAGAAAAGGGACAAATTAGAAATGAAACTTTATATTTCTGCAAACTACAACACTAAAACACAGTAGCTTCTTTAATACACTCACACAGGATGCTTATTAGCAAAATTAAATATTTGCCTATGAATAGCAGAAAAGTAATTTGAAAACAAAGAGTTTGGAACAAGGCAAATGGGAGGGGGAAAGCTGGTCTCAGAACCCATTGTGCCATACCTGACTTTAACATGTGATATTCAAACAATCGTTCACACGCCTTACATCAAGAAAATGAAAAACAAAAACATTCAGCTACATTGTACAAAATTTTTTTTTTTTTACATAAAACATCATAAATCTTGAACAGATTTACTATATCTGAATTCTAAAAAGTTGCCTATAGAATGGTGCTGGGATTCTGTTCTCTGCTTGCTTTTAGGCAGTGCTGTTGCTTAAAAGTTGACACCAGGCACAATATTTTAAAACAAAGTCAACAAGCAAGGAGCAGTAAGGGACTTGAGCCTTTCCCAGATGTCAGTCCTGAGGATGCTGCGATTTTCCCCATCACGGTGTGTAAAGCTATGAGGCGGATACTGATGCCTGAGAAAGTGGGTGACTTCGCATGCACTTGCATGGCTGCTATAATGGCAAACAGTGCAGTTTTCCTTTCCTCAAACAACACTGTTTTAATAAATTTAAAGAACACTCCAGTTCTTAGATAAATACCAGAAATCATATTTAACAGTTAAAAAACACATTAGCACAATCTAAAAATGCCCAAATTTTCCTTTATCTTCAGTTAAAATATGCAGCAGCCCAATGGCATGGAGCTTATTAACTTATTCTAAGAACTAGAAAGCATATGAGCATAAATATTTTATTCTCACTGAATATATATCATATGTCATTCACCTCTTCCTTTTTTGGCTTGTCACTGCCAAAGTTCCAAATGGCATGGGTTTTAACAAGACAATACTGAGGAGAGCAGCATTTCTGATCATCTGAATTGGCAGCTCAAACAGATACCACTCCTTTTACAAAGGTAACAGAGGGTGAAGGGTATATGTGAAGGTTGGGCAGTGGGCTGAAGGGAAACCGTGCACATGAAATTTGGGTCACCATGCCCCAAGAAAGTGTGCCACCCAAAACATAACACAATTACCTACTTCAACAAAGCTACTACCAACATTTATTAAAACCACATTAAAAATACACAGGATAATGAATGGTCTGAAAGAGTGCATTTGGAAGCAGAGAGAACCCAATTACACACCTTCCTGCAACAGAGTGCCTCGATCATACACAAAATAAACTTAAGCTGTTTACAATGTTTCCCAAATTTTATTTTCCCTCTACATTTAACTATTAAAAAAGTTTTTATTAATAAATGGGCTCCTCTGTGGTTCATATACAATCATAAGTGAACTTTAAATTCCATTTTATACAAACATCTCAAAAAATATTGGGAGTGAAGTATGGTAGGAAATATTGCTCACATTGCTAATTAACATGCGTATATGAAAGAAGGAAAATGTTTTGTTAGTGCATATACCTCCAGAGCAGAAAACCCACCCAAAACAAAAGGTTTAAAATAACACATACAGTAGCTGATTACAAAAAAAGGCAATGTCCACAAAATTAAGTTTTTCATGCTATTCTACTTTCCAGTACTATACTTCAGGTAATCAATTTGCATGGCTAGATGTTGAATGCTTGAGGTATATAAGAAGGGATACCTGCACATTGAGGAAAATCTGTCATCTTAAGGGTTGTCTCTTTGTGTGTTTGTTTCTTCTGATATTTTAACATTTTTAAAAGAATATTTTATTTACATCAAACTTCACTCAACTACAATGACATTCCAATTTTAATAGATGACAAACAACGCCTCATCACTAGGCACTTTTAAAAGGGAGTTTAGGCTTTACAGAAACCTTCTGAAGCAATCCCATATGTGGTATCACATCATCCCACCACCCTCATCCCATTAAAATTACCCTTCAGGGAAATATTATATTCTATAGCCTGATTTACTATGGAAGAAATTAGTATGAAATAACTAAAAGAAAAGCATCATTTAAGACTAATAAAACAGCCTAAGATGTCAGGTTTGAAAGAGGAGACTAATTGCATACATTTAAAACTAATTAAATAATTTAAATTTGACTTGTACTTTATATATTAGTGAGACACAAATATAGGCTATTTTATTTTAAAATTTCATTCACATAATGGAAAATTTCTTGTTTATTAAAAATATCACATTTTGAGACTAGAAACAGTAAAGTGCATGAAAAGTTTAAAATATAAATTCAGAAAACTTTTATAGCAGCAAAAAAGCAGAATAAAGAAAAACTTAAAAACACAGACACAACCTTTTCCTGTTACTGTGCCATAATTAACATCAAGTAGCCAACCAATTTCCCCCCCAGAAAATGATATTATCTTCACTGCCTCGAGTCATAGATTTTCAACTGGCCCCTCATGGGCAAAAAAAAAAAAAAGGATTCCAACATATCTAAAGAACATCAAGAGTTGGGAATAAACCAGTAGCTTCTTAATTCAACCCTGACAGACAACAGAAACAAATATTTAAAGCATGTAATGGCCATTTGGCAACTAGAGTCAGGAAAAATGATTCAAGGTTTTCAACTACTCCCTGTCTCTTTCTCCCCCAAATTCTTTCTATTGTTGCCCCCAAAAGCCAAAACCAATAGCCACTTGACCTACTTTGGGAAACATATTAAATACTTGGACAGCTTTCATCTTCTAAAACTTTGATCAGGGCCATTTCATTCAGTAGTTATTTTTTAAATATTTGACTATACCAGCAAAAATGACATATATCATATAATACATTTTTTTTCCAGCACAACCAGGCAGAAAAGGGTAGATGAGAATAATGAAAAATACTAGACACTAATTTTGTGGGCTTCCTAAATATACCAAAAACTCTATTTTCAAAATGTGTGGCAGTAAAAATTACTTGCTGTTTCCCTATAAATAAACTGGAGAGTCGGGCTTAAAATTAATACTTCCAATAAGTCTATAACTAAAAGGGGAACAAAATTCAGAGTGATTTCTAAAAAAATGTTTGCCCAACAAACTGTCATGTGGAGTTAACTGTTTGATTTTGAAAGCATATTGTGCAACCAGCTTTAATTTCTCAATTTTTCTTATGGCTATAGGCTATATCATAGTTTATGTACAGATCTAGTAAATGTAAATGCTTTGTTAATGTGCAAATGACTTTGGGAGCCAAAAATTAGTTTGTTATAATGGAAAACAGAAATTCAAGAAAGTTTTCCCTACAAGGCATAACATTAAGTTTAAAATCTTACATCGTTTTTTAAAATTTGCCTTTTACAAAAATGGTTGGCTCATTTGAAACCATTTAAAGAAAAATATTTGTTTTGGAAAAACAAATACACTGCTGTTGGGCCTCAAATTGGTGATTTATCAATTATGAATGTTGACTCTTAATATAATATGAAGAAGGTCGATTTTAAAAACATGTTATAAATTAAAAATTTGGAAAGAGTAATACTTTGGTCCCAGCTCTAGTGCCAAATGATGCCAATATGCACAAAAAATGTACAAAGTCTTATAGCAAACACATAATGAAAGGAACCTGAAGAAGCAGCTTAAGGATGGCCATACTTCACTCCTATATACTTTGATTTACAACTGTACAGGTCCATAGCAATAGATCCCCGTCTTTGCGGGGCAGTACTCCACTACCTCCGATTAGGCAAGTGAACACCATTGACAAGAGGCAGGAGTGGAGGGTGGAGTTCAAGTTGAGTTAACAGTGAGAAGTGGTCTGAAGGGATGTGTGGGTGTGGACACCCAGTGATGTTGTTCTCAACCAGCCATTGAGGATCTAAAGGCCCCAGGACACCAAGCACGTTCATATGAGTCTTGGAATAGAAAATGTAGTCAATTACGCCCTGAAAAGAGATTGGGAGTTGGAAAAAAATAAAAAATAAAAAAGAGAGAGAGAGAGAGAGAGAGAAACATATGATTAGAAAAAAGAAAAACTTAATATATACAAGAACAATCCATAATTTTCAAAAAGCTAAACACCTGAGTGACCTGTACGTTTGGTTGTCTTGACAATGGGTAAAATAAGGCTCAAGTCTTCAATGGGTTATTACATGAAATAAAAGTGACTCAATAGGGAAACAAAGTATCCTACTGAAATAACAAAGTCTTACATGTGTGTACAGGTGATAAGCAAACTGAGGAGCTAAGCACACCAAATTATGTTTACACATCTTTAAAATTTGCTTGCTTGGGTTAGTAAAATCTAATATATCAGTATAAGTATTATAGAAATTGCAGTAATTCTAACAGCTACAATAAGTAGAAAATAAAGATCTTTATATAAAATGCATATACCAGTATAATTAATGAAAAGGTATCACTCAAATTAATTCCTTTAATGATAACTGGAATTATTTTCAATTATTTGCAGCACATAAAAATATCCAAACACATCTGAAAGAAGCCATAGTAAAGCATGTTTTCAGGTTTGCTAATCCTAGTTCAGCTTTCCCTATTTGTCATACCTACAAAATACTGCATGCAGTTAATTACTCTAATTTGTTCTTTAGTTTAGAATACTCATTTTCACAATTCCTGATATACTCTAAATTCTGGATTCCTTCCTGCCTAACAATACCTTTGCAAAAAATATTTAGCAAGGACCATATATATATATATTACTAGAAGCCCAGTGCACGAATTCATGCACAGGTAGGATCCAGCTGGCCTGGGGGAGGGGCAGCAGGCAGTTGGCTGACCAGCCCTGCCCCCAATCAGGGAGGGGGGGGGGGCAATTGGGGGCAGAGCCAGATGGAGGAGGGGCCACAGGCAGTTGGCCATCAGCCCTGACCCTGGTTGAATTCCTAGTAGAACTTTCAGTTGAAGGAACAATTTTCATATTAGCCTTTTATTATATAGGATTAGCAGTATTTCTCAGTCTGTCTGATCAGTAAGTTTCAAAACTACTGTGCTCTTCACTTCCTAGCTCTTTCTATGAAGCCAGCATTACCCTAATTCCAAAACCAGATAAAGACACCACAAAGAAAGAGAATTACAGGCCAATATGCTTGATGACCAACAGATGCTAAAATCCTCAACAAAATTCTAGCAAATCGGATCCAGCATTACATTAGAAAGATCATATGCCATGACCAAGTGGGATTTATTCTGGGGATGCATGGATGGTACAATATCTGCAAATCAATAAATGTGATACATCACATAAACAAATTGAAAGACAAAAATCACATAATCATATCAATCAACGCAGAAAAAACATTTAATAAAATCCAATACCCTTTCTTGATAATAACTCTCAGCAAAGTGAGAATTGAGGGATCATACCTGAATACAATAAAAGTTTTATATGATAAACCTATAGCCAACATTTTACCTAATGGGGAAAAACTAAAATCATTTCCCTTAAGAACAGGAACAAGACAGGGATGCCTACTTCCACCACTCCTGTTCGACAGTGCTGGAAGCGCTATCCATAGCTATCAGAGACAAGAATAAAAGGTATCCAAGTTGGAAAAGAAGAAGTAAAACTGTCATTATTCGAATATGACATGACATTGTACATAGAAAATCCCAGACTCCATAAAAAAACTACTAGACTTAATAAATGAATTTGGCAATGAGGCAGGATACAAAATTAACACACAGAAATCTATGGCTTTTTTATATGCCAACAATGAACTCAAAGAAAGAGAAACTAAAAAAACAATCCCATTTACCACTGCACCAAGAAATGAAAGATACCTAGGAATAAACTTAACTAAGGAGGTAAAAAACCTGTACTTGGAAAACTGCAGGACATCGAAAAAAGAGATGGAGGAAGACATAAACAAATGGAAGAACATACCATGTTCGTGGCTTGGTAGATTCAACATCATTAAAATATCCACACTACTCAAAGTAATTTATAGATTCAATGCAATCCCCATTAAATACCAACTGCATATTTCACAGACCTAGAACACACTCTCCAAAAATTCATTTGGAAATAAAAAAAAGACCTTGAATAGCTGCAGCAATCCTGAGAAAGAACAACAAAGTAGGAGGGATCTCAATACCAGATTTCAAGCAGTATTATAAAGCCATTGTTCTCAAAACTACCTGGTACTGGCACAAGAATAGATATATAGACTAATGGAACAGAACAGAGAACCCAGAAATAAACTCAAGCTATTATGCTCAATTAATATTTGACAAAGGAGCAAGAGCATACAATGGAGTCAAGACAGTCTCTTCAATAAATGGTGTTGGGAAAATTGTTCAGATACATGCAAAAAAAAAAAAAAAAAAAAAAAGAAGCTAGATCACCAACTTATACCATACACAAAAATAAACTCAAAATGGTTAAAGAACTTAAATGTAAGAACTGGAAAACCATAAAAATCTTAGAAGAAGTCATAGGCAGCAAAATATTTATCAGACATATTCGTAGCAATATCTTTACTAATAACAGCTTTTAGCGCAATGGAAACTAAGGAGAAAATAAACAAATGGGACTATATCAAAATAAAAAACTTCTGCACAGCAAAAGAAACCATCAACAAAACAACAAGAAAGCCCTTTGCATGGGAGAACATATCAGTATTTGCCTATGCTATCCCACAAAATTTACAGGAAACTTATACAATCACAATCTAACAAAAGGAAAAAAAACAATCCAATCAAAAAATGGGCAAAGGACCTAAGTAGACACTTTTCTAAGGAGGACATACAGAAGGCCAAAAGACATATGAAAACATGCTCAAAGTCACTAATCATCAGAGAGATGAAAACTAAAAGGACAATGAGGTAATTTCTAACACCTATTAAAATGGCTATTACAAAAAATCGACAAACGACAAATGCTGGTGAGGATGCAGAGAAAAAGGAACTCTTTTTACACTGCTGGTGGGAATGCAGACCAGTGCAGCCACTGTGGAGAACAGTATGGAGTTTCCTTCAAAAGTTAAAAATGGAACTCCCATTTGACCCAGTAATCCCACTTCTAGGATTATATCCCAAGAAACCAGAAACATCAATCAGAAAGTATATATATATACCCTTATGTTCATAGCAGCACAATTTACCATAGCTATGATTTGGAAACAGCCTAATTGTCTATTAGCAGATGAATGGATTAAAAATGTGTAGTACATCTAACAATGGAATACTATGCTGCTATAAAAAAGAAAAAACTTTCACCATTTGCAACACCCTGGATGGACCTGGAGAGTATTGTGCTAAGCCAGTGGTCGGCAAACTCACTAGTCAACAGAGCCAAGTATCAACAGTACAATGACTGAAATTTCTTTTGAGAGCCAAAAACTGACTTCTGGGCATGGGCCATGAAGTTTCAATCGCGCTGTACATGCACGTCCGCATGATATATTTTGTGGAGAAGCTACTACATTCACATATGGCTCAAGAGCTGCAGTTTGTCAACCACTGTGCTAAGCAAAATAAGCCAGTCGGAGAAAGATAAACATCACATGATCTCACTCATATGTGGGATATAATGATCAACATAAATTGATGAACAAAAATAGATTCAGAGACAAGGTAATACTGAACAGACCGTCCAACCTCAGAGAGAAGACAGTGGAGGGGGAGGGGGTTAGAGATTAACCAAAGGACTCGTATGCATGCATATGAGCATAACCAATAAATAGAGAAACTAAGGTGGCGGTGTGGGCTTGTCCTGGGGTGTTGGAGTGGCTGGGAGGAATTACTTATTTACAAATATTATAAATAATGAGTTTCAGCTAATATTTTATATGGCATCACAGTGAAAGAGGATACTTTATCCCCCAAAAAATAAAGAAAAAGAAATATATAATAAAAAGTACTAATAAAATTTTGAGAGAATACTATATAAATTCACTCATGGTGAATTTAGCTATATCAGATTGCATATAATTTGGGTCATTACTGAAAGTTAGGGATGGTATGAACAGGTGAAATTTAACTGTATTAATAAACATAAGTGCTTCCAGTGCCTGGCACATAATAAACATTTTAGTAGTTTTTTCTGTTATCAAATGTTATTTGAAATTTGAACAAATAAGGATTTAAAAAGAATTCTCCAGTTAAGAATAACAATCACAAAACCTAACAAACCTCTTTTACATTAGGTGCATACTCAACCAAGACATTCTGAGAATCTAAAAATTCCTGAAGATTATGCAATTAAGCACAATATAAACCTTTCTTGCCATGTTTATATTTAAAATAACTTTTATAGCAGCCCAGAGCAACCACTCACTTTGAAATCAAAGGTGTAATTGGTATAAGGCATCAAGTTATTTTCATAAGCGCTCTTCAATTGGAAGCCATGTGTGATTCTCCCTTCTGAGCTTCCATTCTTCCCATTGCAGCTGAAGTTCATAAGACACTCATTGTACCTTAGTTCCTTGAAGTCTTTATGGTTGTCAGCTACTCCTCCGTTGCTTAAATATTCCACAACACCTAGTAAAGAAACAATATCATTTACCCCATGTCCCATCCACAGGATTCTTACTGATACACTCCCTAATTTAGAAGAGAAATTCTCTACTCACAAATTAAATGCTAGCTGGCCTTTCAAGTAGAAGTGAAAGCAAAACTGAAAGCAATAGGAAATGATGCTATAAATACCTGAATCTGGCAATGAGTTCAGATCTGCACATAGCACCAGCGGGATGGAATTAGGATCTGCTGTTGGGCTGCCAGGCCTACTAGAGGCTTTCTCCAGAATGTTTTTAACCTCTGAGACAAACATCATGGTCTGGATGAGTTTCACATCAGAATACTCTGGGTCCCAATGCATGTGGGCATTTGCCACTATAAGCAGCTGTTTGTCTGCAGCATGAATAGGCTTCATACCTAAATTTAAACATTAGAAAAAGGAAGATAAAGTTATGCTTTATGTATCAAAAAGGCAGAATCTTAAGGTTCTCTCCCCAAATCCATAGCTACTTCTTTACTCTTTTTCATGAATTTATATCTTCCCCTTTATCTCATAAAGTAGTTCTCATAAGCTACAGTACTGACTTTCTAGTAATCACAACATAGAAATTACTTTTCTAGATCAGGGTTGACAAACTGCAGCTCATGGGCTAAAAATGGCCCACCACCTGTTTTTGTACAGCCTGTATAAGCAAAGACTGCTTTTACTTTATAAAAGAGTTCTAAAAAAGAAAAAAATTTTTTTTAAAGACTGCACTAGAGACCATGTGGCCCCCAGGACCTAAAATACTATCTATCTGGAACTCTATAGAATGTTTTCTAACTCCTGCTCTATATGCCTAAATTAGAAATTATACCATGATATAACTAACCAATATTTGATTATAATACCTTGATTTGCCAACTTCTTCGTGTAAAGAAGCACTTTAAATATCTCTATCATTTAAATATCAATATAACCTAGTGAGACAGGTTTTCAGTTATTTGAGTTATCTAAACCTTAATTTAAATTCTTTTTGCTATTCACCTTACATTTTTTTTTTTTTTTTTTTTAGCACATCAGTGATAGGTCAGCAGTAAAAAAGCAGTAACATTATACTAACCTATACAAAATAAAATGAGAAAGTGAATTTTCTACCAAAACAAATTCATACCATATGCCCAAATAAGATAATTTTAAAAATTAAAATCAATAGTGTGTTCTCAAGGTCTGGACATGGGTTTTCTACCCAACTTTATTACTAACTAGAGGCCCGGTGCATGAATTCATGCACTAGTGGAGTCCCTTGGCCTGGCCTGTGGGATGGGGCCAGAACTGTCTCTCTGACATTCCCTGAGGGGTCCTGAATTGCAAGAGGGCACAGGTCAGGCCGAGGGACCCTACTGGTACATGATCAGGGCCGAGGAAAGACACAGGAGGTTGGCCAGCTGGGGTGGGGGGACCGAGGGAGGGCTTCAGGGCATGTCTGGCCAATCTTGCTCAGTCCTGATAGATCAGACCCCAGCAGTAGGCTCACCTACTGATTGAAGCATCTTCCTCCTGATGGTCAGTACACGTCATAGCAACTGGTTGACTGGTTGACTGTCTGCCCCCTGGTGGTCAGTGCACATCATAGTGAGCAGTTGAACAGCCTTAGCATATCATTAGCATATTATGCTTTGATTGGTTGAATGGCCGACTGGATGACTGCACACTTAGCATATTAGGCTTTTATTATATAGGATTATTTTGTGTAGTCATGGGCTACTTTTTGGTTACTTTGCTTGAACAATGAAGGTGTTCAACTAGAAAATCTGTTATTCTTTTTTTCCTTAAAGGTCTGTTCTTTAATTTTGTCAAAATATTAACATAGTACTTTCATCAAAATGGCAGACAGAATAATATATTAAAAATTGTGAAAATTAAACTTAACCTGTAAGACATAAAACTCAATATATATGGTATGATGCAATTTAAATAAAATTGTATACATATATCTTACATGTTAGTGATGTGTAAAGAAATAAAGAGTTACTCCTACAGAGTATGAATAAGGGACTTTTATATACTTTTATACTGCTGGAAAATTAGTGAACACATAAAATCAATGTTTCCATTGAAATTTCTATAAAAATGTCTCTCCAATTTTTATATTGGGCAAAACAAAAAACAAAACAAAAACAACACAACCCTGTAGGAAAAGACAACTTTCTATGTCTACTATTTTTGTTGTTTCCTTCCATCTTACTAAGCTATAATTATCTTTGATGTTGTGTAAATAAGTAATTAAAGTATGTGTTATATGTGACAGAAATACAATGGAACCTTGGTTCTCGAACTTAATTCATTCTGGAAGGCTGTTCAAGAAATTATTTGTTAAAAAAACTGAATTTTTCCCATTAGATATAATGTGAATTGAATTAGTCCATTTCAGACCCCTAAATGACTCCCTGTTTTAACCTTTTTAAATTACCTGTGTACTTTCACACCATTAGCAATATCAACAGTCTTGATGGCCTTTTTATGTTTTAATATTGTGCTAACTGTCTATTTTACCACTGCATACTCAGTAGCCAGACAAGACACGCAAATGAACACCTATATCATACTTTGCAATTATTTCTTTTTGAAGCTCTCTCATTGTTCTCACATTGTCCCCTTTCACTTTGCTGCTATCACTAACCTTCTTATGACCATGAACTTACTGTACGTATTTAGTAATAATAAGCAGCAACAAAAGCAAAAAACCATGAAAATATTCACAGCACAATTTCCTGAGATATTAAAAACGTGAGGTTTAGTGGTAAACTGATTCATACTCATGCATTCTCTCCTTTGTCACCTGAGAGACCCATGACTGTCATACAGATATCACCATGAAAGGGTTATCCAATGGAGAACCATGGTTTGTTTGACAACTGAGACATTTTTTCCATGAAACACTTGGTTGAGAACCTAACTATTTTAGATGGGAGACATTAAAGAATGGAGGTTTGACTGTTGTCATTTTTAAAGCAATTTGATCATAAGATAAAGCCTGCAGCTGAAGTTCTCTAAGCTCTCTTTTTTTCTAGAAGTTATAAAGTGTCACTTTTGGCTGTAGATGAAATATATGTTAAATATTAAAAACTTGCCCCTTCAAAGGGGTCATAAGCACCTTCTATAATATTTAAATCTTCTTCTAGGAGTACAAGAGTGACATAGATCAGAATGTGAAACTGTCCACTGTATAATTTATAGTTAAATTGTAAGAAAAGTAATACTCCAAAGGATATTCAATTTTCACATTACCCACACCACCCCCCAAAATGTACCAAATCTCTGAGAAGAATGAGACTAAATAGGATATAAAAGTATGTAAAAGTGGAGAGGCTAAAAAAGAAAATTTTAAATATCCTAACAAAGTCCGATTATCTTTGATGATGGATAAACTGATTAATGGCAAAAAAAAAAAAAAAAAAAAAAAAAAAAAAGTCTGACAGATATGCATGGTCTGAATAATTCAAGTAACATTCAAGACAAAAATATTTTCTTCTACAGTTAGCAAGTACAAAAAATCCTCCTATATAATAAAGAGGTAATATGCAAATTGACCATCACTCCAACACACAAGATGGCTGCCCCCATGTGATCAAAGATGCTACCCCCATGTGGTCACAAGATGGCAACCACAAGATGGCCAGCAGGGGGGTGGGGGGCAGTTGTAGGCGATCAGGCCAACAGGGGAGGGACCAGGCCTGCAAGGGAGGGCAGTTGGGGCAATAAGGCCTGCAGGGAGGGCAGTTAGGGGTGACTGGGCCAGCAGAGAAGGGCAGTTGGGGGCAACCAGGCCTGCAGAGGAGAACAGTTAGGGGTGACCAAGCTGGCAGGGGAGGGCAGTTAGGGAAAATCAGGCTGGCAGGGGAGCAGTTAGGCATTGATCAAGCTGGCAGACGAATGATTAGGGGATGATCAGGCTGGCAGGCAGTAGCATTTAGGGAAAATCAGGCAGGCAGGCAAGCAGTTGGGAGCCAGCAGGCCTGTATTGTGAGAGGAATCCCAGATTGGAGAGGGTGCAGGCTGCGCTGAGGGACACACACACACACACACACACACACACACACACACACACACACGTGCGCACACGCACACACGCATATATTAATTTTGTGCACCAGGCCTCTAGCATATAAATAAAAGCCCTTGTGTACTCTTATAGATTCTTCTTACTCTTGCCTTTAGTTAAATAAACAATGAAATGCTCAAAGGCTGTCAGTAGAAAGCAGAGGGAGATGGAGGTCTGGATATGCAAAGTACATGAGTTTCTGACTTTAATAAAAGCTATAAAAAAATATAAAATACAAAAGCAGCAGGTAGATTAAAGATCCAGCCTTTACCCTGACAATAACTGAGAGATAACAGAAATATTAGAGAAAATGTGTCAAGTACTTAACCTTAAAGACAAAAGATTTTATTCTCAAGAAGGTAAAAATATGACTAAGAAGGTAACCAACTCATCAGAATATCCAAATTCAGCCTATCTAAACATTTCCTATTTCAAATAATTTGGAATTAATGGCATATTAAAGACTCCCATTTTTAAAGATTGCCTTAGTATCCTAAGAAATATATGGTGCTTTACACAATGAGTGCTATTTTCCTGCCAATCTCTCTCAACTTTCCACAAAAGACAAGAAAACAACTATGCAATAAATAGCAAGATTTTCTGCACTTGTCTGAGATAGAAAAACTTGGGATGGTGTTTATTTTTAGTAAGAATATTTTATTTTACTTCCTTATTATTTTTTTAAAATATATTTTATTGATTTTGTACAGAGAGGAAGGGAGAGAGATAGAGTTAGAAGCATTGATGAGAGAGAGTCATCGATCAGCTGCCTCTTGCACACCCCCTACTGGGGATATGCCCGCAATCAAGGTACATGCCCTTGACTGGAATCGAACCCGGGACCTTTCAGTCCCCAAGCCAATGCTCTATCCATTGAGCCAAACCGGTTTCGGTTGTAGTAAGAATATTTTAAACTGTACTCACCTGCTCCAAATAATTCTTTGTGGACCTCTAATACCACAGCAACACCAATATTATCTTTTGTCATCACTCTGTTCAGCATAGCTTCGGATCCATCTGAATTAGCCATTGCCACTTGATTAAATTCCACTGTATGCTTTTGCACCAATGTAAATCTACAAGGTACAATACATTATTATTATATTATGTACTTGGACTGCCATGGTAAGAGAGCACAAGATACAGGCACTATGCACTGTCTCTCTAATCAAGCAAGGGGCCATGTAATACAGGTCTGGCCAATGAGTTGTAAGAAGTCCGATTACTCACCATAAAAACTGTTTTGGAAGCACCACCACATAATGGCATGTTAATCCCTTTGTCCCTTTATACCTTTGTCCATGTGGTGAGGAGCAGGAGCACAAAAGCCCAATCATTATGGATGGGAAAGCTGCTAAGTCAGTTCTGCACTGCCATTTCTGACTTCTTGTGTAAGAAAATTACCCTTCCCCCATTTCTTTAAGCTGCTATTGGAATTTTCTGGTATTTAAAGGTGAACAGAAACTTCACTAAATCAGCAAGTTAATAGGAAAGGAACAGAGTAAAATCTACCTAACCTTTTTTTGCAGTTTTATTCTTAGCACTTCAAGAGATCTGTCAACAAGATGCAGTGACACACCTTTATCTCAGCTAAGGAGAAGCCTATTTTTCCATCTGGCTTTTACTAGAAATCTGGAATTAATGTACAGAAGTGTTCAGAGAAACAGAGTCTACCAATAGCCTAAGAAATAATTATCCATATTCTATCTATACTACTTTAACAATACTACTTTATACTTTCCCCCGTATACACAACCAAATGTAGTCCACTCTGCTTCTATTTTTCTGTCTAACAGATTTCCATACAGGTGATATGTTGACAGATATGTTGACACATCTATTAGATGTGTGTGTGTTTTTTTGTGTGTGTTTGTGTGTGTGTGTGTGTGTGTGTGTGTGTGTTTAAATAAGACATACTGGTTTATACTTACTTTATACTCATCAAATCTTGGTAATATGTAAAATCTTAAAACTTCAATTCATTTTATTATTCCTGTTCTGTAGCAAGTACACAAAGACTATAAGTATTATGCCTAAGGCTATTGTATTTAAATCTAAGAATTCTCCTGTACATTTACTCTTTTAAAAAAATCTTATTTCACTGATGGTCATATGGAAATAAGATAAAATATAATGAAGATTAATATGACAAAAACAAACAAAAGAGACTTCACCATTCTTATATGATTTGAGAAAAATTATTAGTTTGAATGTTTCTAAAATCAGAAGAGCATGTCCAAAACAGTCCTTCAAACAGAACAAAGAAATAACTCAATATATTACTATCTTGTGATATGGAAGCAATTTTATGGGGTGTGATATGATTAAATTAATGCTGGAGAGAGGACAGTGTATACCAACAATGAGCAAGCAAAATAATACTGTATAATTTCGCTTACATGTGGAATCCAAACAAACTCAGACACAGAGAACAAAATGATGATTGCCAGAGAGGATAGAGGTTGGGTTGGGTAGAAAAGGGAAAGGGAAATAAGAAGTACAAATTTCCAACTATAAGTCACAGGAATGTAAGGCACAGCATAGGCAATATAGTCAATAATATTGTAATACAAAAGTTAACTATGACGCATATCCCAGCACTCTTAAAACTAAACCAAATAGAAGTTTTTATTGTATATTCAGTACTATAAAATGCTATAAAATGTGTTCTTGGGTTCCTTTAAGTAATCATGGAGTGACAGAAAATAATGTACTAGAAAAGAAAAGATTAGAGACTGAATAAATGGGGAAGATAAGTAGATGTATACCATACTACCTATATTTATACAACTCTTAACCACTGAAAGCACTTTCACTTTCTTGATCATTGTAGCCCAAAAAGAAGCCTTTAAAGTTAGGTGGAATCATTATAAAAGGGTATCCCAAAAAATGTAAACACATTTTTTTTTTCCTGATAGCTCAATTGATGTTTCTTTCTTTTCAGATTTAACTCATTGGGAGTTAATAATTATTCAAAGTGTATATACCTATTTTGGGAGATACCCTGTATTATCCCTAATTGAGAGGTCAAAAAACTGTGGTACAAAGCAATAATTTTATGTTCAAGATTAAGTTAATGGTAAAATTAACATTAGAAACCAAAAATCACAATCTGGTTTTGTTTTTTTTTAACTTACATAGACAAATTCTAACTTCAATCACCACCAAAAGCAGAGGAAATTAATAACTGAGAAACTAGTGAGACAGGGATCATCACAACAGATCATTTTGGGATGATATAAGTATAACCTCTGAATGCCCTCTTTTCAAGCACAAAACTACCTATACTAATGTAGGAAAGAAAAGCAAAGACCTGGCCTTACTTGGTACCTCTGATACTGAAAGCAAGTTAGACAGCAGAGGCAATACAGCAAGGACTAAGTAAGCACCATGACCGAGTAGTTCCCAATCCTACTGGAAGAGACTGCCTTTTCAGTGTCCTAAAACTGCTGTTCTCATCTTTCCCTCTCTCTTTTATTTTAAACAAAGCAGGATCAGATCAGACTGCTAACCTCAGGGACAGTAAGAAATCCACCTAGGATTTCTGCAAATTGAGTATCTGGATAAAAGATCTCGTTTCTACTAAATGATAAGTCTATAGGACAAATCTTATATAGATACCAAAGGCCCAGTGCACAAAATTCGTGCATGGGTAGGGTCCCTAGGCCTGGCAGGTGATCAGGGCCAATTGTGGCCTTCTGGCTGCCAGCCAGGGCCTTCCTTTGTTCCGTGCTGCCCCCTAGTGGTCAGCACAGTCATAGTAAGTGAGCGAGCAATCAAACTCCTGGCCTCCCAGTCAAATTCCCAAGGGGATACTTTCCATATTAGCTTTTTAGATATATACTGGAGGCCCAGTGTAGCTCAATTCCACTTGCCTCAACTGGCCGCCATGCCCATTGCTATTTGTAGCTTGTGCCCTGCACTCTGCTGCTCATAGCTCTCCACTGCTTGTAGCCCTCTGCCACTTGTAGCTTGCTGCCCTGCCCTCCACCTGCTGCAAGAGCCATTGCTCTCGGGCAGGGGAAAGGAGAAGGGACCGAGAGTTGCTCAATGCACCTCCTGGTGACCGGTCAATATGGTGTTAAGGTGTTACAGCCACAGGCCTTTATAATATAGATAAAAGATATAAAAGCCTAAGCAACTCTTAAGACCAAATGACCAGCTGACCAGTTGTTATGATGCGCACTCACCACCAGGGGGCAGACGCTCAACACAACACAGAAGCTGCACCCTGGTAGTCAGTGAGTTCCCACAGCCAACCTCCTGTGACCTCCTGTGGTTCCTCCCCCCAAACCATCCAGCCAGGCAGCCAGCCAAGGGACCCCACCCATACACAAATTCATGCACCAGGTATCTAATCTACAATAACAATGCCTCTATACATACACATACACACAAATACATATGTGTGTATAGACACACCAGTGCACGCACACACACACACACACGTTATAAAACACTTTAGACTGAAGATGATACTTATTGAGGTAAAGGACAAAGCAAAAGCATGCTACCAATCCAAACTTATTTTCTGGTATTTCTATGCATCTACCAATAAAACAAAAACAGAACATGTTTATAATAATGACTGATAAGTACTACCAAATCTTTAACTTCTGAATCCCCAAAGATTAAATTAATCCAGAATGAATATGATTAAAGGAATATTTTATTGTATCCTAATTCCCTGAATATTGTTAATCTGTGCCCTAGCTTTCGCTAGGCTATATTCCTACCCTGTCATCACAAAGGATGAGTTTTTTCTTCTAGCACTTTGCTAAAATAGTAATTATATAGTTCCTATTTATTGTTACTGATTCTGTACCACTATTTTTAAAGAAGGGGGGGAAACTGTCATCAGTGAAGATTAAGAATTATCAAGTACTCTGGTTTTAGAAGAATGAGACTTTGAGAATGAGTACAAAGAGAAAATCCCTCTACATCTCCTTTTCTGACTGTTAGATTTGTTAACTATATAAAAAAATTATCTTACAAATTAATATACAAATGAGGGGGGTTAGAGAACAACCAAAGGACTTGTATGGATGCATATTAGCATAACCAATAGACACAGATACTTGGGCAGTGGGGGCTTGCCCAGTTGGAAAAGGCTGGGCTGGGGAGGGGGGGGGGGATATTAATTGAGGGGAAAAGGAGACATGTGTAAAACTTTAGACAATATAAATAAATAGACAGATAGATAAATGTTTGTTGAATGATCACACACACACACATACACACACACACACACACATAAAGAAATAAGCCCAGAATTATCTTTTCTTTGCACAGTATTCTCTCTCCAATCCAAAGAATAGAATAAAGGCAGGGTAGCACACTTTGTATTGAATTCCAAATAATATAGTTTTAGCTAATATGACATCAACAAGTATTTGGTACTGTTTAAAAGAGGTAAAATGTAATAATGTATCATACCCCTAGTCTTTATCTCTTGCTAGATTTATGTTACTATGTAGGCAAAAAGAGTTGAGAAAGGAAAGAAATCCAAATAATGCATCTTAGTGTTTCCTATATATTTCTTTTTTAAAAAAATATATTTTATTGATTCTGTACAGAGAGGAAGTGAGAGAGATAGTTAGAAACATCGATGAGAGAGAGTCATTGATCAGTTGCCTCTTGCACACCCCCTACTGGGGATATGCCCGCAACCAAGGTACATGCCCTTGACCGGAATCGAACCCGGGTCCCTTCAGTCCCCAAGCCGATGCTCTATCCATTGAGCCAAACCGGTCTCAGCGTTTCCTATATATTTCATCTCTCAACTAATTCACAATATTTTTAAAAATTCTAGCATCAGCCGGGACCGGTTTGGCTCAGTGGATAGAGCGTCGGCCTGCGGGCTGAAAGGTCCCGGGTTAGATTCCGGTCAAGGGCATGTACCTTGGTTGCGGGCACATCCCCAGTAGGGGGTGTGCAAGAGGCAGCTGATCGATGATTCTCTCTCATCGATGTTTCTGGCTCTCTATCCCTCTCTCTTCCTCTCTGTGAAAAATCAATAAAATATATTTTTAAAAAATTCTAGCATCAATTTTCAAATACTTAATTGTTTCCAAGTTTCCTAGATAGCAGATATAATTGTTAGTTCAAAATCTTAACTACCTATAGTACTATTAAATTACCAAGGCATTTAAAATTTTCTCTTAAAACCATGAAGGGAATAGTAAAAATTCTTTGTATCATCTTCCTTCAGGAAGAAATAGAAAATATAAGAAAAGAGCTTTATATTAGACTAGTGGCCCAGTGCATGAAATTCATGCGTGGTTGGGGGGGTGTCCCTGAGCCTGGCCTGCACCTTCTCCAATCTGGGACCCCTTGGGGGATGTCCGACTGCCAGTTTATGTCACAATCCGGACCACTGGTTCCTAACTGCTCACTGCCTGCTGGCCTGAACTCCTCTAATCACTCTGCCTGTGGGCCTGCTTGCCCCCAACTGCTCCCCCCACTGGCCTGCTTGGCCCCAACTGGAGCCCCTCTGCTGGCCTGATCTCGCCCCCAACTCCCCTCCTTGCTGGCCTGATCATCCCCAACTGCTCCCCCCCACTAGCCTACTCACCCCCAACTGTCCCCCTTGCTGGCCTGATTGCCCTCAAATGCCCTCCCCTCCTGGCTTGATTGCCCCTAACCACCTCTGCCTTCACCCCGCCACCATGGCTTTGTCCGAAAGGACTTCTGGAAGATCTTCCAGTCTAATTAGCATATTATCTTTTTATTACTAGTATACATATCTCAATTTTATCAGTACTTTTAAAATATATTATGGTATTTCAAGTAAATTTGTGTAGAAATGTAAGTAATAAATATCAAACTCAAGGCTATTTTTCCAATTGAAGCAACTGTATACGAAGTACAAGTAATATTGGAAGGTCATATAAGAAACGTAAATATTCCATTTAGTATGGTGATTAAAAGCACTTACTATGAAGCCAGACTACTTTCAGTGCCTTGTTTTCCTCATCTATAAAATTGAGAAAATACTATTAAGAAAGAATATATGCACCCCTATGTTCATATTAAGTGTTATTTATAATAGCTAAGGTCCAGAAACAGCCCAAGTACCAATCAGTAGATGTCTGGATAAAAAAGTCGTGGTACATTTATACAATGGAATACTCTGCAGCAGTAAAAAAGAAGGATCTCTTACCCTTTGAGACAGTATGAGGGACCTGAAGAGTAATATGCTAAGTGAAGTAAGCCAGTCAGAGAGAGACAAGTATCACATTATCTCCCTCATATGTAGAATTGAGTAAACAAAATAAACTGACAAATAAAATAGATACAGAGACATGAAAGATTGCAACAGATTGACAAATGTCAGACTGAAGGTGGAAGGAGCAGAAAGAGATCAACCAAATTATTTATATGCATAAGCCATGGACACTGATAATAGGGTGGTGAGGGCCTGGGGAGGGGAGGAGCAGACCAACAGGGGAAAAGAGGAGCACATTTATAAAAGTTTTTTAACAATAATAATAAACTTTCAAAAATATTTTTATTCTTTAAAGTATTACATAAGTCCACCGAAACCGGTTTGGCTCAGTGGATAGAGCGTCGGCTTGTGGACTGAATGGTCCCAGGTTCGATTCCAGTCAAGGATATGTACCTTGGTTGTGGGCATATCCCCAGTAGGAAATGTGCAGGAGGCAGCTGATCGATGATTCTCTTTCATTGATGTTTCTAACTCTCTATCCCTCTCTCTTCCTCTCTAATAAATCAATAAAATATATATTTTTAAAAAGTATTACATAAGTCTCCTTTTTCTCCCCGTTGACCTCTCCCTGGATGTTCCCCACCCCCTACCACATGCCCTCACCTCCATTGGCTATGCTCATATGCATGCATTCAAGTCCTTTGGTTGATCTTACCACCCATTTCCTCTGCCTTCCCTCTTAGGTTGGATGATCTGTTCGATGCTTTTATGACTCTGGTTCTGTTTTTGTCCAACAATTTAGGTTGTTCATTAAATTTGCAAATGAGTGAGATGGTGTGATATTTATCTTTTTCCGACTGGCTTGTTTCACTCAGCATAATGCTCTCCCATACTGTTGCAATTGGTAAGAGTTCCTTCTTTTTTTACAGCAGTGTAGTATTTCATTGTGTAGATGTACCACAGTTTTTTAATCCACTCATCTGCTGGTGGGCACTTAGGCTGTTTCCAAATCTTAGCTGTTGTAAACCGTGCTGCTATGAACATAGGGGTGCATATACCCTTTCTGATTGATGTTTCTGATTTCTTGGGATATATTCCTAGAAGTGGGATTACTGGGTCAAATGGGAATTCCATTTTTAATTTTTTGAGGAAACTCCATACTGTTTTGCACAGTGGATGAACCAGCAGTGCTTTGAGGATTTCTTTTTCTCTACATCTTCGCCAGCACTTGTCATTTGTTGATTTGTAGATGATAACCATTCTGACAAGTATGAGATGGTACTCATAACTTTTTAAAAATAGGGAACTACAAAATAACATTATCCCCCCTATTACCCTCTCAGCCCCCACAACTCATGCCCTCACCCCTCTGTTGTCTGTATCCATTGGTTAGACTTATATGCATGCATACAAGTCCTGTAGTTGATCTCTCCTCCTTACCCTCACCCTCCCCTATCTTCTCTCTGAGGTTTGACAGTCTGATTGATGCTTCTCTGTATCACATATGTAATACCTTAATCAATAAAGAAAAAAAATTTTAAATGGGGAACTACCTTTATTCCTACCTCTGAGGGTTTATTTAAAAATTAAATAAGATAATCCATATTAATAAAAGGCTTAAAATGTAAACATTTTAAAAGTAATTACTGTTTTAAAATTTGTTTTAAAATAACCACCTAACCTGGCTGGCTGGTGTGGATCAGTGGTTGAGTGCTAACCCATGAACCAAGAGGTCACTGGTTTGATTCCCAGTCAGGACACATCCCTAGGTTGTGGGCTCAATCCCCAGTAAGGGGTATACAAGAGGCAACCAATTGAAGATATTTCTCACTCATCAATGTTTCTATCTCTCTATCCCTCTCTCTTCCTCTCTCTCTAAAAATCAATAAAACATATTATAAGTAAAAATCACCTAAAAGAATTTCATATATTCTGACCTCAAATATTATAGGGCTGTGTACTGATTATTAACTAAAATGAGAATACCTCTATTAAAAATTCACAGAAAAGATTGGAAAATAGATTCAAATTAATGAAAAGTATTATAGGCGAAATATCTTTCAAATTCACTTAATTCATTTATTTAAGTTAACATTCTGGTAATATGCCTATATTAATAAAAAACATTTAACCAACTTTGTTATAATAGGTATTAAACAGGAATATAGTCATAAGCATGTAAATACTTATTGTTTAAGTAGATTCTCTAATATAGCAAACCTAAATTATCATCCATGAGATTCAATCTCTATCAGACTTCACATTTTCAGTCTTCTATTGATGGTCCTTTCCATTTTTCCACTTTAAAATTGGCAGCCTTTATGAGGCAAAAATATTGTCTTTTCCTCCAGATGATAACCAAAGAATCTGCCTCTAACCATATAGTTACTCAACCAACACTCAAGAGACACTTTCTGACCATGTTACAGCTCCTCACCCTCAAGAAGGAAATACAATTCTAAATCAAATGCACACAACATAATAAACCCAGTAATAGAGAAATACTAATATTACAAAGGACTAAGAAAAAGGAAAATATAATAAAAATATGTCCAGGATACTTAAGTTTCAAAGGAACTACCCATTCATTATCTCATTTAATTATTTTAACTATCTCTGAAGCAAGCATGAATATGGTTTTCCAGATTAAACTCAAGAATATTAAAGCACAGAGGCTTCTCCAAGATCATTTATGTATTTTAATAAAGACTCCTTATATTATCATTATAACTATACAGTAATCAGCTATATTAACAGCCCCCCCCCAAAAAAAAACCATGAGTGATGTTTTCTTTATGTCCAATAATGATTACTTTCCACTATCCTGTCCTAATTAATTCTTTAACTCCCCAACTCCATAAGCTGTGCTTCTGCCTTGCCTTATCTTAATGCATATTTTTTCTGCTATATATATATATATATATATATATATATATATATACACACACACACACACACACACACACACACACACCTGGCATATATATATGTGTGTGTATATATATAATCTAATGTATGTAAATATATATGTGTGTGTGTATATATCTGGCATATATATATACATATAATCTATATATACACACATATATATAAATATATATATATATATATATTTGTGATTTTTTAAAATTGTTATTGTAAATTTTTTTTGTTAATCTTTACCTGAAAATATTTTTTCCATTTATATTTTTAAGAGAGTGGAAGAGAGAGGGAAAGACAGACAGAAACATCAATGTGAGAGAAACACATTAACTGGTTGCCTCCAGCATGAGCTCAAACCAAAGCCCTGGCTGAGGAGGAACCTACAACCGAGGTACATGCCCTTGACCAGAATCAAACCTGGGACCCTTCAGTCGCAGGCTGACGCTCTATCCACTGAGCCAAACCGGCCAGAGCTATTGTGATTTTCTTACATGCTTACCTTTTCCTACTAGAGTAGAGCTCTGAGTCTGCTTAGTAACTGTGACTACCATAGTACTTGTCACAAAACAAATGTTCAGTAATCGTTTAGTGAATAACTGATTAAATAAATGTATAAATGGTAACTTAAAAAAATGATGAAAATGTTTATAAAATGAATGATTCTGAAAAAGACCACATATTTTTTGAAAAATCACAGAAGGAAATAAAAACTTATTTCTAATCTTAAAAGCTAATTACTTTAAATCTAATTACTTTTTTTACACCAAAACTAATATTTTACTTCATGAAAATATAATTGGAAACATGATTATAACACTATATTCAAGTATATTAATTTACTTAAAGTTTAATTTTTATATCACTTGCTTTCTAGCCTTTTATTTATTTTATAGGGTCAAACCAAAAACAATTAAAAATGTGCAGTAATTAAAGGAGTAAGTTTACACTATTATGTTTTCTTTCCTTAACTCACTTTTCTGTTTTGAAGAATACTGCACAACCGTCCACATGCTTTCTCTCCTGCTCAGACATGATTTTGGCACGTGACTTTGGAGAAAAAAATCCATCATATCCACGCTCCTTTAATGCTGGCAGAAAGAGAGTGAAGTATTGCTCTGTTTCCACTTCCTGAGATGAAAGAAAAGTTATCATCAACATGACAGGAAAACTCTGATAAAGATATAAAAATGTTCAGCATTATGAGTAAGATGAGACGAAGTTAAAATAATTCACATAACAAATATTATCTACCTTACCTTACTCCTAACAGCTGCCATTTCAAAATGGCAGCTTTTTAAACCTTTAGAAAGAACCAAATGTTATATGATTTTTTGCATGCTCACACAACCAATGGGTCCCAAGCCTCTTGACTCCCAATACAGAGTTCATCCCACTATTTTTCACTTCCTCACAACTGGTGATTAAACAAAGAAAGTTAATCATATAGATTAAGTGGTAGGAAAGAATAAATTTTATATATAAAAAAGTAATTAAAAAAACTTTTTTAAAAAGCTTTCTCATCTGTGGTAAAAGGCATTGAATATCTGAGAGTAAGAAGCTTAAGTTCTATCAACAAAAATTGTTCTTTAAGGAATTTTTTGGTACCTGATTCTAATGGTCTCTGTTAATTTAGTAATTATTGGGTTAAATTATTTTATTTTTTATCCACAAAATATTTTGAACAAATCCTTCCAAATGAAAAAATCAAGTCTGAAGATAATGATTTATGAGAGATAATGCTCATAACAACATAATTTTATAACATGCCTAAATGTCCAACAGTAGGGAAAATGATAAATCAGTATTTATTCATGTAAATAATTCTGAATAATTATAGTAATATAAAGTGCATTAAGAGCAATAAATAAAAAAAGAAAATATGTCAATTAAGTATGATAATCTTTATTTTTAAAATATATCTACAAATAAATAAGTGAATTAAAAATGTATACAAGAAACACTTCAGAAGTTTTAACACAGCAACTATCTTTGGGATATGAGATTACGTGTTTTCTTCCATCATTCTTTATATTTTTTCAGCATTTTCAACTTCTCTAGAATTAACACTTTATAAAGTATTACTTTAAAAAAAACGAAGTGTTTTGGCATATAGTTGTGTATGACCTACATTTGAAAAATTAATTCTTATTAATATATTCAGCCATGTCTATTCCCCAGAGCAGATCTCAGAATGGTTTCAATTTTTTAAATTTTTGTTTCTGATAATATAACATTTCTTGCTGTAAAACATTTTTAAACTAAATTTATTAGGGTGACACTGATATGAAAACTTTTTATTATGGTATTTTTATCCTTCAAACTAAACTTTACATAGAAGAATGTGAGGCTATTTTTACTACATATACAAAATGGAGACAAGTAATCATAATAATAATAATAATAAGACATTCTGTTTGCCTACTCCTACCCCAAAATCTGACAGTTCTCAGTGACGAGAAGAAAATGTAATTTTTGAAGATATTTATTTCTTATTATTCCCCAGGAAGTCATATAAACCATGGACAACATAATAATTTCTTCTCAGGCTATCCTGAAAAGAAGGTGTGAAACTATAATATTTAACATTTTAAGATACACTTAAAATACTTAATATGCTTTGAAAGCTGCTAAAAAATTTTTACTGAAATTTATCTAAAAACTTTCTTGGCTATTCATTAGCTACATATTGAAAAAAAGCAATAAAATGTATATTTCAATGGAAAGGTACTTCTCCAGTTAAATTTACTATACTAAAGTGTTATAAAACAGAAGAATCTAAAATTCAGAGGTTGTGTTTAAATAAGACAAAATTGTATGATTGATGGTAAAATATTTTTTGCTGTTGTTAATACTTATCTGAGGATATTTTTTCCACTGATTTTTAGAGAGAGTGGAAGGGAAGGAGGGAGAGGGAGAGAGAGTGAGAGAAACTTTGATGTGAGGGAGCACACTGGTCAGTTGCCTCCCTCTTGTGCCCCCATGGGGACAGGGATCCTGCAACCCAAGTATATGCCCTGACCAGGAATCAAACCCATGCCCCCTTGGTCCTCAGGCCAATGCTCTAACCACTTAGCAAAATCATCCAGGGCTATAATACAATATTTTTAAATATTTAAAATGTTTATTATCAAGGAACAATAGTAGGCAAGCAATTTTCTTTTAAAATTAAAAGTCAATTTATATTCCTAAAAGATAATCTTCTGCAGTTTTCTCTTTTGGCAATACCAATAATTTATAGATGAGATAATTGTTAACATGAATAATGCAAGAGATAATTTTCACTTAAGATAGAAAATAAGTATAAATGGATGGCTATATTTAGTAAAATATTAGGTCTAGTAATAATTAATGTCGTTTTCTAATACTTTTTTAAATCGAATTTATTTAAACAATACAACAAAATTTAATCAACAATATAGTTGCCGTTGTTTTCTACTACTTGTGCCCAACGCTCAGGAAGCATTTTAATCCCTCTGTCGTAAAATTCTTGTGATTTTGATGCAAAAAATTCGGTCAATACATTTTTGAGGCGTTCTTCATTATTAAATTTTTTTCCAAGAAGAAAGTTTTGCAAAGAACGAAACAAATGGTAATCGGAAGGGGCAATATCAGGAGAATATGCAGGTTGAGGGAGAACTTCCCATTCCAACTGGCACAGTTTTTCAGCAGTGATTCTTGCAGTATGCGGTCGTGCGTTATCGTGGTAAAGAATTACGCCCTTCCGATTAATCAGCGCGGGTTCTTTTTCTCTTAAAGCTTGGGCTAACCTTTCCAATTGGACACTATACACTGCACTTGTAATGGTTTGGTTAGATGGTAAAAGTTCATAATGAAGAATTCCTTTAAAATTCCACCAAACACACAACATCACTTTTTTCGCATGCAAGTCAGGTTTTGGCGTGGGCTGCGGAGCCTCATTTTTGTCCAACCATTGAGGCCGCCTTTTCAAATTAACATACAGCACCCATTCTTCATCTCCGGTAACAATTTGCTCTAAAAACGGCAAACGGTTTTGACGAGAGAGGAGCCAACTGCAAATTGTGACTCTTTGATTACGGTTGTTGTCGGTCAACTCATGAGGAACCCATTTTCCAAACTTTCGGACTTTGCCAAGTGCACGCAATTGATTGGAAATTGTTTTTTGTGAACAATTTAAAGTTGTCGCAAGCTCTTGTTGGGTAATTTGAGGATTTTGCACCAAAAGAGCTTGAAGAGCTTCTTGATCAAAATTGGACACACGGCCTCGACCACTCTTGTCATCTAACGAAAAATTTCCCTCGCGAAATTTCTCAAACCAACATTGGCATTTTCTGGCGTTAACTGCATCTTGACCAAGAGCACTACAGATGGTTTTTGCAGCCTCACTTGCTTTTCTTCCTAATTGGAACTCGTAAAGCATACAGTGCCGAATATGCTCTTCATCCGCCATCTTCTTAGCCCTAGTTTTGCAACAAAAACCAAACCAAACACAAACTTTTTCAAGCAAAACTTGTTAATTGCACTTCACACGTTCTGTAGATACCACGTGTTTGAAGGTTATGTCAATACAAGTCAATGCCAAGCAAGATTTTAAACGCATGTTTAAAAACGACATTAATTATTACTAGACCCGATAGTTTCACTGTGGAAATGTCTTAGGTTCTTTTTAAAATTGTCCATTTTCTTTAAGGACAGAAAACAATTCCCTTTGAGTTTTACTCTGAAAACAGGATCTCTCCCAGAAGAGCTTTCATTTTTAAGTTCACCTTTACCTTAAAGACAATTCAATTTCTATTGTGTTACCTGAAGACTAATGATATCTGCGTCACAGTTAACAATTTCTTCCATAATTCCCTTTTTCCTGTATTCCCAGTTTAATGCCCAGGATGGGCAATAGCCATATAGCTGCCGGGTGGCGTATTTATCACATAACACATTGTAACACATAACCGTGAATGATGCTAAGAAGTGAGAGAGAAAAAAATAGACAAAAGGGAGAAAGTTAGGCAACTTTTTCTAAAGTAATGTGCACAAGCACACAGGGCATTCAAACACACTCAAAATATCATCATTATGAAATGCCTTGGGCAAGAACACATTAAATAGTATCTACTAAAGCTTCTTTGAAGTCCATCACACCAAAGCAACTTTACTAGAATTAGACTAACAGTTCATATTTGAAATTTTTAGAAAATTTATTTTAATACAAATTAAAATTTTAAATTATAGAACGATTTTTGCACATAATTTGTTGAGTAAAGCTTCTCTATATAAATGAAACAAAGGTAAATTTTAGTTTTGTTATCATTAAAAGGCTCTAATTCCATTTATTTTTATAAAATATCTATACTTAATACTTCAGTGGACCTCTTACTGCTCTCACTGCTCTGAGCCAGAAGAATATGCACTAACAAAGTTTAGTTATAAGAGAATCCTTTTTGCCAAGTGAAATGTTCACTGCTGAAATTAAATTCTCATTTTAGAATGCTCTTGAACTATGAAAGGACTGTGAGCAAACTAATAGCTGAGGGAACATGGTTTTTATAATGAAATTAGAAACTCAAAAGTGTGCTCTAAGGAAAAGGCATCAGCTATTCTAGAAATGCAGAATTTTTAGTTCCATGAAAACTTATTGAATCAGAACCTGCAATTTAACAAAATGTTCAGGTACTTCATATGACATGCACAGTTTGAAAAGCCCTGATTTTTACCAGTAATTCTCTATCCTGGCTGCCCATTAGAATCAGTCTGAAGAGCTTTAAAAACAAACAGCTGATGCCCATGGCCCTACTCCAAACAAATTAAGTCTGTTTATTAGGGTCAGGGTATTTATATTTATAAAAAGTATTCCAGGTGATTAGTATGGGCAGACACGGTTGAGAATCACATCCTATATAATAAAAGGCTAGTATGCAAATCGACCAAACGGCAGAACGACTGGTCACTAAGATGTGCGCTGACCACCAGGGGGAAGACACTCAATGCAGGAGCTGCCTGCTGGTGCTCAGTGCACTCCCACAGGGGGAGCACCACTCAGCCAAAAGCCGGGCATGGCTGGTGAGCGCAGCAGGGTGGCAGGAGAGGCTTCACAGCCGAGCTAAGGACACCTCAGCGGACATTCCCCCACGTGGTCCCGGACTGCGAGAGGGCACAGGCCAGGCTAACGGACCCCCATCCCCAGAGTACATGAATTTTGTGCACTGGGCCTCCAGTATTTAAATAAAAGGTAAGAAACCCAAGTAATAAAGTAACACTTGATTGAAATTGGTTCAGATTCACATGATGGTAAAAGAATTAAGAGAAACTTAATTTCAATGCTCCCCTGGGGATCTCCATTGGTGGCAATTTTATATACTGCTACCTTTTTCATTATTTGGTAATTACTCTTATGATGTTTAATGTTTATAATTTTTTTGGCTATAAATCACACTTAAACATCATTCATTATTATACACATCTCCCTATGTACCAAAAGTAAAAGGCATTTTTAATTTCTTTTTTAGCACTCAGATTCTACTCAGAGAAGCATACATCTCAAAAAAAAAATAAAAAAAATAAAACCCATACCAGTTTTCAATAAGGAAAGTCCAAAAAAAACATTACTCTGAGAGTTCAACAACTAGAAAACTTCTTTCTGTTGTCCTTTTTCTAATGGAAATTTAGGTATGCAATATTAGAAAATGTTTTCTTGAAAATTATATTCACTCATACTCGAAAAAGGATTGCTTTGTATAATAGAAAATGGTGTTTTTAATACCAGAAAGGAACAAATTAATTGCACATTAGGGGAGGCTAAACATAAAGTAAATCTGCCTACCTTAAGGTTTGTAGAAAACCTTAGGTACTCTTTTTTTCAAACCATCAATGTATAGAAATGTTATTCATAATAACACTGACACAATGCCTCTTGGGACAGGCTGATACTGTGACTCTAGACTGTGCTGGTTTCAACATTTTTACTTCATGAAGACAGAAATGAACTGTAAATGATAACTAGAGGCCTGGTGCATGAAATTCGTGCATGGGGGAGGGGATCCCCTCAGCCCAGCCTGCACCCTCTCCAATCTGGGACCCCTTGAGGGATGTCCGACTGCCCATTTAGACCCGATCCCAGTCGGACATCCCTCTCACAATCTAGGACTGCTGGCTCCCAATGCTCACCTGCATGCCTTCCTGATTGCCCCTAACCACTTCTGCCTACCAGCCTGATCACCCCCTAACCAGTCCCATGCCAGCTTGATTGATGTCTAAATGCTCCCCTGCCAGTTTGTTTGCCCCCAACTTCCCTCCTCTGCCAGCCTGGCCGCCCTTAACTGCCCTTCCCTACAAGCTTGATTGCTTCCAACTGCCCACCCTTGCAGACCTGGTCCCTCTCAACTGCCCTCCCTTGCTGGCCATCTTGTGGTGGCTTCTTGTATCCACATGGGGGCAGGATCTTTGACCACATGGGTGCAGCCATCTTGTGTGTTGGAGTGATGGTCAATCTGCATATTACTCTTTTATTAGATAGGATAGAGGCCTGGTGCATGGGTGGGAACCAGCTGGTTTGCCCTAAAGGGTGTCCCGGATCAGGGTGGGGGTTCTCTTGGGGTGTGGGGTGGCCTTGGCGAGGGGCCTGTGGTGGTTTGCAGGCTGGCCACGCCCCCTGGCAACCCAAGCCCAGGTTCTGGTTTCAGGAATTACCTTCTACAATTGAAACTTTGTAGCCTGGAGTGGAGCCAAACCCCCTGCTCACTAGGCTGCCCCTATTTCTGTTTGGTTTTATGTATCTTCTATAATTGTATCCTTGAGTGGAGGTCTAGACCAGCCAGGGCAGGTGGAAAGCTTGGCTTCCTCTATTGCCTCTCAACTGCCCTCTGTGGCTGCAGCCATCTTGGTTGGGGTTAATTTGCATACTTGCTCTGATTGGCTGGTGGGTGTGGCTTGAGTGGAGTGATGGTTAATTTGCATATTACTCTTTTATAAGGTATGCTATTTCTCAGAGTTATTAAAATGCAAGATGTTATACTGCCCACATTTCCCAATACCAAAGCAAATGACTTTTTCTAAATCCTCTTATTTAATAACATAAAAAAAAAAACCCTCACAAACAGAAGGGCTTAAAAAGTACACAATAAACTATGATTTGCCTATTAAAAATTATTTAAGCATGAGTATTCAGTGCTTGTTTTAATTTTCAAGTTAAAACAGTAAAATTTTTATTTAATTTTATAATCACTATTCTTGTGATTAAAAAGAAGGCATTAAGAGAAATACCAATCCACAACTTATTTTAAGTAGAATTGTCATTCATAAAATGTCTAATAAGAAGTAAAGAGCCCTATAAAAATGTCAAATCAATATTTGTCTCCACAAAGAGACAAAGGTTTATATTTTTTACACTAATGCAGTACAAAAAGTGCTAAAACATATCCTTAAAATGCTCAAATGCTCACACTATACCATTTCTACATCACAGGCCTCATATAATATTTTGTTTCTTATGTAGCAAAAATAAACTCAAACTAAATTATTCTTTTACAACTGTTATCAACCTACATGTTCAAGAAAGATTAAGTACCTAAATAGGTAAATTTTTCAGAAGAAATTCATTATTACTCATTTTCCTTACATCTCCCAATATGCTGTGAAGATGCCAATTGAAGGCTGTGGTACAAGGAATCACTTTAAAACTAAAAGTTACATGAAAGAAAGCTTCTTATACATAAGCTTTGGTGTGAATTTTTAAGTCTATCCATCAGTATTTTTATATTCACCTATTATAAAATGAAGGCCTGTTCATTTTATCAGACTGCCCAAATGGCATTTCAAGTATTTCTGGAAAAAGTCAAGGAAGAATAAAAACTATTTACCTGATGGCAGAATTTGGTCTCGTTCTTTTAATGTAATCCATGGCCTCGGAGGAAGCTGCTCTGGATGAACTGAAAAGAAAAAAAAATTAATAGTTATTAAAAATTAATAAGTTAATTTCATATGTTCCTAAAATCAGTATCATTTACGTTATAATGTCAAGTCAACTTTTCTTCTCTTCAGCTATAATGAACCAAAAGCCCAATTAAAAATATACTATTTATATATAAAAATTTAGAAACCAAAGGAAGTTTAAAATGAGCTATGCAGAAAACACATAACTAATATATAAAAAATAATACTAGAAACTCACTGGCACTTCCACTTACATAGTATTTATGAAAAGTATCTATTTAAAACTTTAACCAGGTTCTTATGTCTTAATTACACATTGACTCAGCCTTGTTCTCTGCAGGGAAATCAAAGCTATTTAGAGTTCCAACATATTAATGAACTAAAATACTCAAATCTCTTTAAAATAGGAAAAACATACATATATGAATGGATAATAAAAATTAATACATTTTCTAATGGGGTTTTCATTTGCTAATTTAAATCTTTCATAATGTCTATGCAAAGCAAGAGATTAGAAGTAGGTTGTACAGAAAAAAGAAAGGCAGTGGTTAAATATTAATTGCTCAGATATAGTTATCAATACCATGGAACTAAATACTACCCAACAATCAGATGAAAGAAAACTCATTAAGTTGAATTTTTTCCTTTTTAAAAAAAAAAAAATTCTTATTGATTTCAGAGAGTAAGGGAGAGGGAGAGACAGAAACATAATGATGAGAGAGAATCATTGACCAGCTGCCTTTTGCATGCCCCTCACAGGGATAGAGCTCGCAACCTAGGCATGTGTCCTGATGGTGAATTGAACCATAATCACTTGGTTCATAGGTTATGATGCTCAACCAGTGAGCCACACCAGCTGGGCACTAAGTTAAGATTTAACTACCCCCCTTTCTTCTTTTTAAAAACATTTTTAATTACATAACAATTTGATGCAAATTATTTGTGCAGGGTATTTAGTGGCTGAGAAATGTATTCTTTTAAAACAAATATTTATCATCTTCATCCAGCCACAAAAATTTTCATGCAAATACCAAAGATCTTAAAAAATGTCAGTTTACTAACCAATTCTTGTGTCAAAAGTTTATCTAAAAGATGCCTGTCTTAGCATCTATACTTTTCAAAAAAATTAAATGAACATTACTTTGTATATTCCATATAGTGCCAGGAAAGGGATTAATGTTATGACCAGAAGCCCAGTGTAAGAAATTTGTGCACTGGTAGGGTCCCTAGTGGGGCCTCCCTCCCTTCCCCTGGCCTCCGGCCAGGGCCTCCCTTACTTCCCCCAAACAGCCCCACCCCTTGGTTGAACTCCTGGAAGAACTGGTAGAGGGGACAATTTGCATACTATGCTTTTATTATATAGGACAAGCAAACCATTTGGCTAGTTCAACATACTGCAATGTGAAAAATAATCATGCCTGCTAGGAGTGCCATGTCAAAATCATGGCAACTATCTCAAAAATGAAAGCCCAATATACAAATACACTGAAGGTACACATGACACTTTCTAGCTACTGGGATCCTTAGCAAGTGGTTAAAAATGTATAAATCAAGAAAATTCTCAAAATGAAACAAGTAATGTAATGTCAACATTTTGGTGCTTCCCAAATCTTAAAATAATATACTTAACTACTACATCACTGTAAGTAAAATGCATAGTATTCACTAAAAATATTTGAAGATATAAAAACACAGGAAAAGACTGTATCTCCAGTAATTAGAAAGCAGAAAAAGATAATATAGCATATTTTTATCCAGGTTAAAAAACAACAACTTAATTTTACTGATATCCATGGGTGATGATATATGGTAAAACATATAATTACATGTATAACTGATAGGAATAAAAACTGGCATAGCTATCTGGGAGGATTAAGTGAATCATGTTTTAAAATTTAAAACATCCATGTCCCTGAGACAAAAAAAATTCTATTTCCTGGGATCAGTCCTATCTGCTTAAAGCAGTATTCAAGTAGATATTCATTACACCATTGTTTAAAATATCTCAAACAATGGTAAGTGGCTAATACCCATAAAACTCAAAGCTGCTTGAGTTCATTTAAAGGAAAAAAATGATTAGATACATGTATACTAAAGTGAAAAGATATATAAAAATACTGGTGAGCCTGGCTGGTGTAACTCAATGCTATGAATGAGGAGGTCACAGATTCTCAGCCAGGGCACATGCCCAGGTTGTAGGCTTGGTCCCCTGAAGGGGGAATGCAAGAATCAGCTGACCAATGGTTCTCTCTCTCTCTTTCTCTCTCTCTCTTTCTCTCTCTCTCTCTCTCTTTCTCTCTCTCTCTCCCCCCCCCTCCTCTCTGAAAATCAATAAAGATATATATATATTTTTTAAAATACTGTTGAGTACAAAAAAAAGAAAATCTAATAAGACATTTAATTTATTATAAAAAGTTTTTAGAGCATACTTAAAAAGTAATACTATAAAATTTCTACTGGTATTATTTTTAGATGTTAATGTCTACAAGAATACACACTCAACTTAGAAGTATGTTTATTTACATAAGTAGTAGGAAATATTTTTTCTGCCAAGGGCCATCTGGACATTTATAACATCATTCATGGGCCAAACAAAATTATCAACTTAAAAATTAGCCTGCTATATTTAATCAAACATTTAATTCATCCCTAATACTTTGGGAGGGCCAGACCAAATGATTCCTCGGGCCTTATATGGCCCGCAGCTGGACATTCTCCACCCCTAATTTACATGGATAAAACTAGAATTAAAGATACTAGTAAAAGAAAATTCTAGTCTTAACAGGAATTTTAACATTTTTTACAATGAGAATATATTTAAGAGTGACATATATTTTAAAAATTTATTTGTTTCATTTTGTATTATGAAGTCTTTGGTCTTGTTTGTTAATTCCACTTTTTAGTATGGAAAATTCTAACATATACAAAGGTATAGAGAGCATCATATACTGAATCTCTAATATCCATTATCCAGATTCAATAATTACAAACTCTTAAATAATCTTGATTTATCTATTCTTCAATCTATTCCCTACACATAGATTATTTAAAGCTGATCCCAAACATTTCATGTCTTCAATAAATGTTTTAGTATGTATCTCTAAAAGTTACTGATGACACTATCACATCTAAAAACAAATTAACAGTGCTTTCTAAATATCAAATCTCTAGACAGTATTCAAACTTTCTTCACTCTCACTTTTGTATATCTATGTACTGATTGCCATTTTCTTAACTGTTTATCATCTATTTTTATAGTTCCTCTCTATTCCTTTCTTCTTCGGCAATGTGGATGAAATAATGTTGCTGATGACAACAACTCTAACAGAGCCCCAGTGAGCAAATTCAGCAGCACTGGGCATGGCTTGTCCACACTAGGGGTGTCGCCTGAGTCTGGAAGGGCTGACAGATCCTGCATGCTAAAATTAAATGGGGGTGGGGTTAGGGGTGGGGGAGGAGTATGGGAGAGAGCTGGAAGAGGTTAAAGAGGAGAAAGGGAGGACTTATGTAATACCTTCAACAATAAAGATTAAAAGAAAAAGAAAAAGAAATAATAGATAAAAATAAATAAAACTAAACTGGGCAACTATCTGATAAAATTGAGATTTATTTAAAAAACCAAGAGTCTCCTAACATTATATTCCAAATATCCAGGATACAACTGAAAAATCACTGCTCATACCAAACACCAGGAAAAACATACATTAAAAAAAAAGACTCTAACAAATGCCAACAGAGATCATTCAGATTTGAAATTATCTGACAGATTTTATAGCAGCCATCATAAATCTGTTTCAGAAAATAATGATAAATTCTCTTGAAATAAATGGGGGGGGGGGAGCAGAAAACTACAGCAAAGAAGCATAAATAATATTTTGACTTTTTTTTTTTTTTTTGAAAGACCAAATTGGGTTCTCAGAAGCTATCTGATGACAGGGGCAGAGATCAGGGCGATGCACTAAGAATAAGAATTTGGGATGTCTCTGAGAAGCTCAGAGTGAAGCCTGCAACAGATTCTTTCCTAAGCCTTCCAGAGGGAACCAATCCTCTTGACACCTTGATCTTGGACATCAGGTCCACGGAACCAGGAGAATTTTAAGTGTTATTTATAAAAGAAACAATGCTTTGGTCTGAAACTTGGACATCTGGGGCATCGGCCTCACTCACTAAAACCTGAGTTTTTGTACAATCATGTCTTGGTGGCCAGAGCAGCCACCTGGATGGGCAGAGGTGTTTTCACCATGGCCAAGATCAAACATCACATCAGTGCCCAGAAGGAGAAAGAACACACCCCAATGTTATGCCTCCAATTCATGACCCTTCCAAGGGTAAATACCCTAGTATGTCGTGCTTTACTTCTGTTCCCCTAAAAATTAAAGTGTCTTTCAAAATGAAATTAAATAAATAAATAGGACCAAACTGGAATTATTGAACTGAAAAATACAATAAACTAACAAAACTCACAGGAAAGGCACAATAATAAAGATTTAAAAAGATAAAATAATTGAATTTAAGAATCAACAGAATTTGTTCAATATGAATCAACAGAATTTGTTCAATATGAATAAAAGAACTGGGGCAAGGGGGAGGAGGGACCTGTGGGACTATAACAAAAGCTCTAAGATTCATATCATCGTAGTGCAGAAAAAGGAAAGGACATACATTTCAGCAGTATTCTTAAGAAATAATGACTAAAAATTCCCAAATTTAGTAAATGACATATACCCCAATAGCTACAAATTCAAGGTAAACAAACTTTAAGTGGAATAAACCCGAACAAATCCACACCAAGACACATTATAATTAAAATGATGAAAACTAAAGACAAAGACTCTCAAAAACATCAAAGAGAAAGAACACATTACTTATAAAGAAACAAGGAGTTTCTTTTCTGAAAATCGGGTGGCCAGAGAAACTGGCAGAATATTTTTCAAGTGCTGAAAGAAAAGAAGCATCAACTGTGAATTCTATATTAAATGAAACTATCCTTAAGAAATCAAGAGGAAATAAAAGATTTTATCAAAGGAAAACTAAAAGGCTTTGTTGCTAGCACTCCTGTCCTTGAAGAATGACTAAAAGAAGCTTTCTAAACAGAAAGAAAATAATAACAAAAGAATTGGACCACCAAAAAGAAAAAAAGAAAAAAACAAGGAAAGAGTAAAAAATTAGGGGTAAAAAAGAATAGGTTATCTTTCTCCATACCAGCTTCTTAAACCATATTGATACTCGAAGCAAAATTTACAACGTCTGTGTGGCTCTCAGTATAAGCAGAGAAAACACTAGAGAACCATTATATTTAAAAGTGGGGAGACGGCAGAAGCCGGTTTGGCTCAGTGGTAGAGCATCGGTCTGCGTACTGAAAGGTCCCAGGTTCGATTCCGGTCAAGGGCATGTACATTGGTTGCGGGCATATCCCCGGTAGGGGGTGTGCAACAGGCAGCTGGTCGATGTTTCTCTCTCATCGACGTTTCTATCTCTCTCTATCTCTCTCCCTTCCTCTCTGTAAAAAAAAATCAATAAAATATATTTTAAAAAATAAATAAATAAATAAAAGTGGGGAGGCGAAAGAAACATAAATGGAAGTAAGGAATCATCAACTCATTTAAGTGCTAAAACACTATCTGTAGATTTCAACAAAGAAGCCATCCTATCTAATAGACAGAGAATATGCTAATTGACTGTACTAAGTATGGATATTGTGTTATCTAGAGTGATCACTTAGAAAACTATCAAGGGAATATACTCAAAATAGCAAAAATAAAACAAGATGGAATTCTGAAATATGTTTAAGGAACCCAATGGAAAACAAAAGGATAAAGAAAACAACTAATAAAATGGTAGACTTAAGTTCTACATATTTATAGTTAACTAGAGGCCCACTTGCACGAAATTTGTCGTGGGTGTGTGTGTGTGTGTGTGTGTGTGTGTGTGTCTGTGTATCCCTCAGCCCAGCCTGAGTTTATAATTCCTGCCAATAATGAATCCCAGGGTAGTGGGACATTGTTCTTTTCTTACACTGATTGGTTTCTGTTTACCAAACAATATGAAAGGAGCTGTAGTTACATTATCTCTTTTAATCTTTCTAGGAACCTAGGAGGTAGGAATTTTTATTGGCCTTATAGGCAAATTCTAAGATTCAAAGAATAAAGTAACTTACCCAAGAAAAGACAACTAATTAATGACAGAGCCATGAACCCAAGATTGTCTTGCTCTTAATCACAAAGATACATAGTTACCAATTTGAATTTAATGCAGATTATGTAGAACTAATACATTGTGTACATTTTTCATGAATGAGATATGACTGGTTTGATTCTCTACACATTTGTGAAAATTTTACTAGCAGAATTTTAATTAAGAACACCAGATTTATCTAATATAGTTGTATTCCAAATGGAATTTTTTTATAAGAAAGCTAATAAGTATTTGAGTTATTTTTTTTTTTTAACATGTTTTTATTGATTTCAGAAAGGAAGGAAGGAAGGAGGGAGAGACAGAAACATCCACAATGAGAGAGTATCATGAATTAGCTATCTCCTGAAAAGTCACCCACTGGGAATTGAGCCCACAACCCGGGCATGTGCCCTTAATCGAACACAGGACCCTTCAGTTCACAGGCCGATGCTTCATCCAAGAGCCAAATCGGCTAGTGCTTGACTTTTATTTATTTATTTATTTATTTTGCTTAAGACTCAAAATACGGGTAAAAGTATAGAAATGCTACTAAATTCAGATTTTTATTAAATAATGCTTTTCTAAAATAGAGAGTCTGAAATAGCTAGAGAAATCTAGATTTCAACAAAGAAGCCATCCTATCTAATAGACAGAGAATATGCTAATTGACTATTAGTTCATCACAAAGATGGCTGCACCCACAGCTGAGGCCTAGTTCTCATAAGGAGCCTTAACTAGCAATCAGCAGGGACCTGAGGCTACACCCTCTCCCGCCTCTGTGGGGCTTGACAGGGGACCTCAGGGCACACCCCCCACTCAGCAGGACTTGATTGGGGACCTCAGGCCGCACCCCTCACCCCAGTGCCAGGCCAGGGGACCTGAGGCCACGCCCCCTCGCCAGCAAGGCTTGAGGGAGCATCTCAAGGTGCACTTCCCATCCTGGTGCTGGACTAGGGGACCTCAGACTGCTCCCCCTGCCCCAACTCCAGGCCTGAGGACCTCAAGCCGTGCCCCCCACCCAGTGAGGCTTGATGGGGGACCTCAAAGTGCACCCCCAGTGCTGGGTTGGGGGAACTCAGGCCACGACCTTACCGAGCCGGGACTTGAGGGGGACCTGAGGCTGCGCCCCCTCCTGGTGTTGGGCCAGGGGACCTGAGGCTGTGTCCTCCTGCCTGATAGGGCTTGACAGGGGACCTCAGGCCATGTCCCCCACTTGGTGGGGCTTGACAGAGGACTTCAAGGCACACCTCCTGCCCCGTTCGTTCTGGGCTGAGAGATCTCATGCCATGGCCCCCATCCTGGTGCCTGGCCAGGGGACCTGAGGCTATGCTCCCTGCCTGGCAGGGCTTGACAAGGGTGGGACTGGCCAGGTCTGAATCTAGCTTAATGGGAGCGGGGAACCTGGCTGGATCTGGGTCTCATGCAATTTTGAGGTTCATGTGGGTAGGCGGGGACTTGACTCTGGGTCCCATGGTGTGCTCCGGACTCTGACAGGAGGGTTTTCATACATATTTTACTAACTTTCTTTCATCTTGCACACTTCCATTATAGAGAAAGGGCAAATAGCAATATTAAATTATTTTCTCTAATTAATCCCCTTTTAATGTGTACGAATTTCATGTACCAGGTCACTAGTTATCACAATATTTGGCTATACTTTTGGAAATTCTCTCCATGATAGAGGACACTTACATACAAAATTTTTTAAAATAGTAAGATTTACAATAAGGTAAAACTAGATTAATATCTAAATAACTAGAGGCCCAGTGCACAAAATTTGTGCACTTGGCGGGGAGGTCCCCTCAGCCTGTCCTGCACTCTCTCACAATCCAGGAGTCCTTGGGGGATGTCCAACTGACATATCCTTAGCACTGCTGCGAAGGTGGGAGAGGCTCCTGCCACCGCAGCTGGCCTCACCAGACATGAGCCTGGCTTCTGGCTGAGTGGTGCTCCACCTGTGGGAGCACAATGACTACAGGGGTAGCTCCTGTGTTGAGCATCTGCCCCCTGGTAGTCAGTGTGCATCATAGTGGCCTGTGGTTCCACTCTTTGGTCAATTTACATATTAGCCTTTTATTATTGATATATAGGATGCTTGACTATAATGACTAAAAGTTTTGATAGGAGAGAGATAAACTTATTAGAGAGGTATTTTTAGTAAAAATTTAAGAGTATTTGGCTGTATACTTATTATGTGTATGCTATTCTCTTCTTGCTTTAAAATTAAATATCTCTCATGTCTATGACCCAGCAGTAGGGGATCTATGTAGTTTGTGGGTATAATTTTATATGTTTTAGAGATAAGCTATTTGTTGGTCTATATATTACAGATACCTTCTCCCATGGTGTTATTTGCTTTTTCATTCTCTTAATTTATCTCTTGATGAACCAAAAAAATTATAACATCCTTAAGTTTGTTGATCTTTTCTATTAAGGTACTGCTTTTGTGTCCTTTTTAAAAAATTTTCCCTACCTCAGGCACATGAATGTATTTCCCCAAGTTATTTAATATTATCCAAAAACTACATTTCTTACTTGTAAGTAATGTTATAACTAATGTTATAAGTAAGAAATGTAGCTTCTTCTCCTTCTCCATAAATCAATAAAAACATATCCTCAAGTGAGAATTTTTTTTAAAATGGTCTGATCCTCTTAAGCAATATGTGACATATTGTGACCTATGTGACAATATGTGACGTATATAATCAACAGTAATATCTGTAGAGTTTACTGCTTTGTCATTAATAATTACCTGCAAGATTGTCAAGCATGAAGTTCAGTAGCTTTCGGGTTCCATCTGGGTCCTGGTACAAATTGAGAATATCCTGTGATAAAGGATTGCCTAAAGCAGAAGACAAAAATACAATCTGTAAGACGTATAACAGTAAGACCAGACAAGTGTATATAATAAAAAAAAATTGTTTTTATAGTGAATTTTACTATATTTAATCTAAACATAAATGTAAAGAAATGTGAATTTAAAGAAATACTTTAAGATATTCAAAAAGAAAATCTTCCAAGTTATTTCTTTCCATATTTCACTATTTATGCGGGCTCAATTTCCAGCATGCAGGAGGCAGCCAATCAGTGATTCTCTCTCATCACTGATGTTCCTCTCTCTCTCTCTCTCTCTCTCTCTCTCTCTCTCTCTCTCTCTCTCTCTCTCTCTCTCTCTCCTTCTCCCTTACTCTCTGAAATCAATTAAAAAAAACTACATTTTTAAAAGGGTAAAGAAACGTTTTGCCTCTTCTTGCAGGGGAAGGGAGAATGTAATGTCTCTTTAACAAGTCCTACCTACTATATCCCAATAATTTGTCAAAATCACATGTATACATAGACACATAGCATATAAATATTAATCTAAGTAAATTCTGAAGTAATATCACAACTCGACACTTGAAGTAATAACCGGCCTGCGGACTAGGTTCTAACTTTATCTTTGAAGACAATATTTTAACTGAGAAACAAAAAAGTCTGGTGTGAGGAAGAATGAGTGATATGAAAAAGAGGGAGGCCCTAGCTGGTTTGGCTGAGTGGATGCAGCATTGACCTGTGGACTGAAGGGTCTCGGGTTTGATTCTGGTCAAGGGCATGATCTCAGTTGCAGGCTCTCGGCCAGGGAGGCAACCAATGGATGTCTCTCTACATTGGTGTTTCTCCCTTCTATTGTCCCTAAAAATCAATGGAAACAAATATCCTCAGCTAAGGATTAAAAAAAAAAAGAGGGCCGGGACCGGTTTGGCTCAATGGATAGAGCGTAGGCTTGGGGACTGAAGGGCCCGGGGTTCGATTCCGGTCAAGGGTATGTACCTTGGTTGCGGGCATATCCCCAGTAGGGGATGTGCAAGAGCAGCTGATCGATGACTCTCTCTCATTGATGTTTCTAACTATCTCTCTCCCTTCCTCTCTGTACAAAAATCAATAAAATATATTTAAAAATAAAAAAATTAAAAAAGAGGGAGAATATTTATCTAATATTTATTAGAATAAATATCCTAGTTAGAATATTTATGTTACATATGAGAAAAAAAAGACATTTCATGTGAAAAAGAAAATTAATATGAAGATGAGTTAGTAAACTGTGAGAGGGAAGTAGGGAAGTAATTTTTATGATATTGATCAGGTATATGGACTACAGGTTTATCAAATACCAAAAACAAGCTATTACTAACAGTCTCTATATTCTCTTAAGAAATAAAGGAGGTATTTGTCAAGTAAGCATGCAAGAGCAGCCTTGTAAACAGATTTGAAAAACAAAAAACAAAGAAATTCCAGAAATGAAGGTCCTAACTATTAAACGAAATCTTCAATGCAGCACCCACCCACCAATTTGGCTAAAATTAAAAAATATTAACCACCAAAGTGTTAGAAAGAAATGTGGAGTACTTGTAACTCTCATAAGTTGCTGGTGGAAATGTAAAATTTATCCAAATTTTACATCCAAAAGCCTTAGTTTCCAAAACCCTTGATAGTAGGAAAAGAAACTGTTCTGGGATGACAAAAATGCTGTATCTTAAGCTAAGTAGTGTTTCGATGCGGGCTCAATTTCCAGCATGCAGGAGGCAGCCAATCAGTGATTCTCTCTCATCACTGATGTTTCTCTCTCTCTCTCTCTCTCTCTCTCTCTCTCTCTCTCTCTCTCTCTCTCTCTCTCTCTCTCTCTCTCCCCTTCTCCCTTACTCTCTGAAATCAATTTAAAAAAAATACATTTTTAAAAGGGTAAAGAAACGTTTTGCCTCTTCTTGCAGGGGAAGGGAGAATGTAATGTCTCTTTAACAAGTCCTACCCACAAGGAAAATAATTTACCAGAATATGATAAATTAGGATTTTACCAAAACTTAATCAACCTGAGGTAAGAGAAATACCCCATTCTCCAGGTCCCTGTAGCCTACTGTGGGTGCGGGTAAAACTAGCTCAGGCTCGCTAAAAAACAGACCTAATCATAAATCTACAGGACTCTGTCTCAAGTAACTGCAAGCCTTCGACCCTACTTAAAGATTCTCTGGGAAAACACAGGGACAACAGAGGATAAAAGCAAGGAAACTAGAGGAAAATTTTGATTCTAACATACAGCGACTATAATAAATAGTAAACACAGCCTAACTCCTAGCCAGAAAGAGAGTTGAGAGAGAGAAGAGGCAATATTTGGGGATAGAGGGGCTAAAACTTTCAAAACCTTGTTAAAATTTTTACAAGGAAAAAGAATCTATTGCCACAGCCCATTTTATTTTAAGGAGATAAGGAATTCTTAGCAGAAACCTAGAATTTTCACAATTATTGAAGTTCTTAATTTTTTATGACATCAATGCCTGAGGACAACTCTTTCAATCATATGTCAGAAAAAGTATTGCCCAACACATTAGGACCTGAATTCTACATTATTTAAAATAACTGTGTGAGAACTGCTCTTATACCTTTCCTTCCATTAAATTAATACATTTTAGACTTTTAAGTGACTAAAAAGAACACTTCCAATTTGCTACACTAACCATTTCTTTAGTTTTAAAATTGGCCTTTTTATCTTATTCCTCAAATACCCTGCCCTTTCATACACATTCCTTAAATCTCAAAATAGAATTTCTAAAAATTAGCATATTGGGCCAAGATAATCAAAATCATTATCAAAACTTCAGTATCTGTGTTTCAGAGGTAGACAAGGAAATAGAAAAAAAGGCACTCCTTTTGCCAGTTTCAAGACAAAATGGAATTTTAAAAAAGACAAAAAGGCATCCCAGAGGTAATTCATTCTCATTGTTTCATTTACATATATAACAGTGCTTTTTAAAATTTTCCATTGCATTATCTTCTCCTTTTTTAACACAAAGTACCACTATGTGGTTATTAAAACTGATTAAGAAATTATTTCAAGTTTTACTTTCCTAAGCATATTTCATTAGGGACATTTTATTCCTTTATTTGCTTTATGGAGCCAATTCTATTTCTACCCTCCTCAGCTTTTGAAAGAAGGCAGAAAGCACTTGTTTTCTTTCATTTCTACAATAAAAGGTGCTTGCTCTTCTGGATCAATAAGTGGCACTGCAAGAAAAAGAGGCTCTAATATAAAAGGGCTACATATAGGTATTTACCATAGAACAAACTAAAGTTTAATGAAAAGGAATATATAGTATATCCATGAACAAAGCTGAATTAAAGTTGGCGAAGCAGAGCTGTTGCATCATCCAAAAGACTACTGGTCTAAGAAGAGATTTTAATAACTATGAATCAGTAGTCAAAAGGGCCCTACGATCAAAGTCCAGACAAAGAGAATACAGTAGTCTTCATCTTATTATAGCTTCAGAGACATGATGGTCAACCCAGGTCCAAAAATATAAAACAAAATTCTAGAAATAAACAATTCATAAGTTTTAAATTAGATGCTGTTCTCTAAGTGGTGTAATGATATCTCATGCCATCCCATCCAGATCATGAATCATCCCTTTGTCCAGTGTAACCATGGTGGATACCCTACCTGCCTGTTAGCAGCATCTCAGTTATCAGATCAACTATAGAGGTATCACAGTGCTTGTGTTCAAGTATCACTTGTTTTACTTAAAAATGCCCCAATGCTTTTTGCAACTCAGTAGTACTCTTTGCAATTCAGATGTGCCCAAGAGAAGCCATAAAGCTCTTCCTTTAAGTCAGAAAGTGAGTATAACACAATAAAATATCTAAAAATTATGCAATAACTTTTACTGCAGCATTATTATAGTTGTTCTATTTTATTATTAATTGTTCATCTCTTACTGCATGAATTCATAAATGTCATCACGGTGCACGAAATTTATGCACATTTAAAGGAAATTAGAGCAAATATTTTAATATTGCTATTTGTCCTTTCTCTATAATAGAAGTGTCAGAGATGAAAGAAAATTAGTAAAGTGTATGTGAAAATCTCCCTCCTGTCAGAGTCTGGGGTGTGCAGCAGGACCCAGAGTCAAGTCCCCGCCCATGCACTTATGTTTCTGGTAGGACCTAGAACCAGTCAGCCCCACTCCCATTGGGCGAGACTCAGACCTGGCTGGCCCCACCCCCCTCAAACCCTGTTGGGCAGGGGCTTGGCCTCAGGTCTCCAGTCAAGCCTTGCCTGGTGGGGGGTGCAGCCTTAGGTCCCTGCTGTTCCAGTCACTACAGCCACAGCATGATGACTACTTGCATATTAGCCTTTTATTATTATGATAGGAAAAAATAGTGTGTATATATAGGGTTTGGTATTATCATTGGTTTCAGGCATCCCCACTGGGGGTTCTAAGAGCATACCTCCTGCAGACAAAGGCTACTGTAATTTAGAAGACTAACATTTTAACCAGTAAAAGGACTAAGAAGATAATAGATATTCAGAATGATACATTCAGTTGATACTTAATATAAATTTTCTGGGAACATGTCTATATATGAGATAGCATGGACTAGAGTTATGAAACAGTATATGTAATACGTGGTTTTGCAAGAATGTTAAATGCAGTACAAAGGGTAAGTCCACTGGGCTCAATAGTAAATTATTCATTTATCATTATCATTATACTAACTATAGTCAACATAAAAGTATGAATTTCATAATTCTAGAATCTAAAATTATAAAAGAATGACAACCATTCCATAATTATTTTTAGTAAGGAACAGACCTGCTTCTACTCCAACTCTACCTGTATGACTGTTTTAACCATATTTATAAAAATAAGTTTTAGCATATATAGTATTAGGTAAAATATCCCAATAGTTAAATTTCACATGCCTTGGATTAATTCTCAAAGAAAATACTTTCCCACTTCATATATAATTTTAAAAATCCAAAATATCCTACAGAGAAACTAAAAACTAAGACTTAACCATTCATATAATTATATAATTTATAAAGGGTTAACTGTATAAAGAAGCCTTTTCTGTCATTTCAACCAATAATGTCAACATTCTTTTCACTCTTGTTCAAGTTTCTCTTTTTAATGTTCCATTATATGACATAAACAAATGCAAACAAAACATGTTCATGAACACTCAATCTCTGAAGAAGGAAAACAAAATACATGAAAGCATATATTTTATATGGCTTTAATTAATGTTTACTCCTCAAGAGCACAGAATAAAATGTTTAACCAATACAGTACATCTATATTTAGTCCTCTGAATTTAAATTAACCCCTTTTCTTTTAAGAAAAAATTCTACAAATTTTAGTATTTATGTAAATTGAGTATGACTTTCTTTTCAAGCTAATCTTGAGATAAAATTATCAGTGGAGCATGTATTTTGAATTAATATATTTTATTTAGAATAATTATACTCACTAGGTATAGTTCATTTTTACTGTTACAATGTTTATCCTCTTACAATAATATTATATGTTAATACTATTTTATGTACTCTATGAATATCTGACATGGAATATTCCAGCTATTAAGTCATTGAAGAAAAAAAAACACAAAAGAAAAAAACTATTGTTAATTTGAAATGTCTCTTTTAAGAAAGTTTAGCGTTTTATAGAAAGTTAAAGATAAAAATAAAAAACATTCCCCCACAAAAGTTTGTTAAAAAGATGGCTGCATGTTGAAATCCTGAAACAATTCAATATCAAAGAACCACTTTTTTATTTAAAAAATAAGTATACCGTAGTTCCATTTTCAAAATTATACTAAAACCTAACCTAGTAATTTAAATGGTCTTTAAAATACATATTTTATTTATTTTTTACAGAGAGGAAAGAAGAAGGATAGAGAGCTAGAAAGATCAGTGAAAGAGAAACATTGACCAGCTGCCTCCTGCACACCTCCTACTGGGGATGTGCCCACAACCAATGTACATGCCCTTCACTGGAATCAAACCTGGGAACTTTCAGTCCACAAGCCAATGCTCTATCCACTGAGCCAAACCAGCTTCGGCTTAAATGGTCTTTAAAGGGCTCAGTATACTCAATACTGAGTGTTAACACTATATTAAAAAAAAAAAAAAAATCACTCACCTTTCAAACCTAGAGTTTGTAGCTGGAAGAGCCGACCAAGTTCATAAGGCAAAACCCGTAACATATTGTTATTTAAAAGCAATTCCCTGTTTAAAAAAAAAAAAAAAAAAGTTTTAGTTGAATTTATCAAGCTTTATTAATATCTACAATTACTTTCTTAACCTTCCCTCTAACATAACATGAGTGCTGTATATATTCAAGGCACATTTTATATGCTTACGTAAAACTGTTGTGTAATATATAAGTACTACAAAATATGTAATTGCCACAATTATTAACAGTGTTTCTATAATTTACTCATTATTAAAGGTGTAGGAATTATATATCATTTTCAAGCTAAATCTACTCTCTTTTCTCTTTCATCCAAATGCCAGTGACAGATATTCTTAGTGTTCAAAGACAAACAGATATCCTTGAACCTAGTCTAATTCACAGAAAAAATATAATTTTTACAAAGTTCAGGATTTAACTATAATCATATAGTAAGAGGATGGTGAGTAACAAGACTTTAAAACAGTATGTTTCATTTTAAACATATGATAAAAATCTCATAAATTACTACTCAGCATATAAACAATATAGAAAAGCAATCCTAGTTTGTATTGGGAACATTTATTCAAGGTCTTAAGATTTCTACAAATTTTTCTCCTATGGAGACGTTCTTAAAGAACCCTGAAGGACTAGAAATAAATCCATTTATCAGGTTTTAAGGTTTCCTTAAGGACTTGTAATATGTAAGTACTAGAGGCCCAGGGCACTAAATCCATATATGGATAGAGTTCCTATGTGGCTGCCAACTGGGGCTTTCCTTCGTTCTGTGCCACGCCCTGGTGGTCAGCACACATCATAGTGAACGACTGAACTCCTAGTTGGTCGAACTCCCAAGGGGACACTTTGCATATTCGCTTTTATATATACAGAAGTTTATATGAAACAGAGATATGTTCCTAAAAGGTTTACTAATAAGTACATTATATTTTCTCAATTATTTGATTAGTCTTATGAGCATACACTTGAGCCAAAAGTCAGATGTAGTATTGTATTTCCACCCTACCTAAAGTCTGTCAAAAGAACTTGGCAATATAAGCACATTTCTTGTCAGAAACCTTCCAATTGAAAGGAAGGAAAAGAAATGTTCATGGGAGGCCAATGCAAGCACTGTGTTCAATCTATATCATTTGACCTTGGAAACACACATGGAAATCCTACTATAAGATAAGTAACATCCCATAATTTTCTAATTTGGTAAATTTAGAATTTCATATTGTGAGTCATATCTATAATATTTCCTCACCTGAGAGACACCATGTTTCCTAGTTCTGCTGGTAAACTTCTGAGTTTATTGGATGACAGATCCAGGTAAACCAGATTATGAAGCTTGGCAATATCAGGTGGAATGCGACTAAGAAAATTGTCATTTAGGTGCAGCGCTGTCAAGTGTGTCAATGACCAAAGTGATGTACTTAAGCTCCGCACTCTACCTAAAAGGTAAAATATTAAAGCATTAAACTCTAGGCTTAAGACAAAGACTGAACTACAAGAACTAAAAAGTGGTAGAAGAGCCTGCAAATATATACAAATATTGTATCTTTGACATTTAAATTTTACATTTAACGCTAGCTGACTGCTTCCAAACACACCTGGCCCTTCTTTAATGTCAGACCACTTTCCCTTGACAATCATTCTTTCTCATGGATCTTCTATGTATTAAATGAGATGAGGAATAATGGGGAGACCCTTAGAATCAGGTTGATTACACGTTCTCAAGGAAAAAGCCTTGGTTGATTGAATTGAGCAATAGATAATGACTTTTTTTTTTTTTTTTTTTTTTTTTTTTAGTCATAGTCCTGAACAAAATATATCTCATATGCTCCATAAAAATTAACAGTGTATGGTTTATCCATATCTAGGGCCCAAATTGGTCTACAAACTTAAATAGACAAGAGTAATGACTGTGATATAGAATAGACCAACCTTAGATTAGCCACCAGGAAATCATTTAACCCTCAAAAGACACAATTATACATTAACTCTGGCTTAATATTTTCCATTAAGTAAACATACTGAAGGAAATAGTCAGACATTAAGTTTTACAAATAGTCAGCATCTTATAGTTATGGTGGAACATGTACTAGAAAGACATGGTTCAGATTCCTGATTTTTTGCTATTTATTAGCTACATAAGCCTGGAAAAATCACCTCGCCTCAGCTTCTATAAAATGTAATATCTTAATTTATTATATATGAAGATTATTTTATAAACTTTACAAAAGTAAAATATTATTTAATTATATAATGCTTTTCAAACAATTGATTTTTATTTAAAAAGCAGTGGGAGGTAAAGAGGGACAAAAATCTCAAAAGGGAAATATTACTTTTTATGTACCTAATGAGCAGTAAATTTAAACTTAGATCTTCTGTCAAGGTTTTTTTTCACGCTATCTATAATCAGGCTTAAAATGCAAACTAGGATTTTGCATTTTAATAGAGAAACAAAGTTCCCAAGAAGAATGTATTTCAGTTTTACCCAGGATTTAACAGAATGGTTCTCAACCAGGGGAAATTTTGCTCCTAAAGTGACTTCAGCAATCTGGAGACATTTTGGGTATTCAAAACTAGGAAAGTGCTGCCTCAGCTGATTTGGCTCACTGGATAAAGCGTCAGCCTGTGGACTGAAGGGTCCCAAGTTCGATACTGGTCAAGGGCATATGCCCAGGCCATGGGCTCGATCCCCAGTAGCGGGCGTGCAGGAGGCAGCCAATCAATGATTCTCTCTCATCATTGATGTTTCTATCATTCTCTCCTCTCCTTTCCTCTCTGAAATCAATAAAAATATATTTTTTAAAAAACTAGACAAGTGCTACTAACAACTTGTGGGTAGGAGCCAGAAAAGCTGCTAAACATCCTGTGGTGCACAACAGCCCCCAACCACAAAGAATTGTCTGGATCTACAATGCCAATTTGAGAAACTCTAGGTTAACCTAATAGGATTTTCTCATATTAATTCTTCTGATTATCCATCACTTATTCACCCAGTTCCCTTTTTAGCTAACTGCAACAGTGATTCTTGCCGTTGACACTATAATGTTGGTTTAACTCTTCCAAATGAAAGCCTATATAATCTGTATTGCATATCAACTCATAAAAGAAAAACAGTACTCATATTCTATTTTTAATAAAATTTTAACTGTAATAATAATTTTAGATATACAGAAAAGGTTCCAAGATAATACAGAGTTCTTATATATCCCTCATCCAATTTCCCCTAATATTAGTATCTTATATTAACATGGTACATTTATCAAAACTAGGAATTAACACTGGTACATTACTATTAATAAGCTAATTTGGATCTAACCCATTTTTTACACTCTGTGTTCCAAGATTTAATTCAAGATACCATTTTGCATTTAGTCATTCTGTCTCCTTAGTCTCTTCTTATGCATGGCAGTTGCTCAGTCTTTCCTTGTTTTTCTGACCTTGACAATTTTGGGGACCAGTTAGGCATTTTGAAGAATATACTTTAATTAAGTTTATCTTTGTTTCTTATTATTAGACTGGGTTAAGCTTTTGAATAAGATTTTGGAAATTTTATTCAATTTTACTAAATCCTAAATATGTAAGGTTATATAACACAGTTATCACATGTGTTAGACTAAACAGACCATCTAGATTTTCTACTCTGCCAACACTGAGATGATAGGAGAATGGCAAAGATTTCAATTTGCAAAAATAATTACTCTGTAAAGAAAAAAGTAAAGTTAAAAAGTTAAAAATAAAAATAAAAATACTCTGCAATAGCTAAAACAAAATCTATCATATTAAAAAACCTGATTTTACTTAGAAACTGAACTCCCAGTAGGAGAAACCAAGATGGCAACATAGGTAAACACCTAAACTGCTGCCTCACACAACAATTTCAAAACTACAACTAAAAGACAAAACTAACATCATCCAGAATCACAAGAAAGCTGGTTGAATGGAAATTTTACAACTAGAAAGAAAGAGGAAAGTACACGGAGAATCAGAGGAGCTACAAAAGGCTGAGGTACGGTGACACACACGTGCGGGCAGCTGAGTGGCTTAATCTAGCGGGAAGGAGACAAAAGCTCCCAACTGCACTGAACCCCAGTTCTTATGGACCCAGGCTTACATGAGGGAGAATCTGGATTGTCAGGCAGAAACTCAGGGGAGCTTCGAAAGGAAAAGGTCTGGAGGAGTGTGCGTGAGTGAGTGAAGAGAGGACTGACTGCTGAGTGTGCCGCTGGTTTTCTCTAGTGGGTGGGAAATGGAGTGCGCTGAACTCCAGTTCCAGGCGAGAATCTGGGAATCCAGATTCATTGGGGGAGAAACTGGACTGTCTGACAGTGGGCAAAACTCGAGGGCGGCTTACTCTTAGAGGTGCTTGTAGCGATTACTGAGGGACACTGAGACACAGAGGCCTCATAGAGCAGTGCTGACGGGAAGCCAAGACTGTCTTCTCAGCTTTGAGACTCGGCCCGAGGCAAGCTGAACACAGAGGCTTTTGCAATTTTTTTTTTTTTTTTTTTTTTTTTTTTTTTTTTTTTTTTTTTTTTTTAAATATATTTTATTGATTTTGTACAGAGAGGAAGGGAGAGAGATAGAGAGTTAGAAACATCGATGAGAGAGAGTCATCGATCAGCTGCCTCTTGCACACCCCCTACTGGGGATATGCCCGCAACCAAGGTACATGCCCTTGACCGGAATCGAACCCGGGACCCTTCAGTCCCCAAGCCGACGCTCTATCCATTGAGCCAAACCGGTCCCGGCGGCTTTTGCAATTTTGCAAGTCTTGTCTCATAAGGCATTCTCCAGCACAGAAGTTCTCCCATAGTAGACACAGCTGACCCTTACAGCCAACTGGACTGGAAGTCAACTCCCCCCAGTAATATTAACAATCTAGGCTTAACTACAACAAGATTGCACACACAGCCCACAAAGGGGCACACCAAGAATGTCCACCTCAGGTAACTAGGGAGGCTGAGCCACTGGGCCCTGCTAGGACACCTAGCACACAAAGCTACCCTACCAATTCAGGGAAGCAGCCAAAATGCAGAGACAAACATGTCACAAATGAAAGAAATGGAGGAAAACAAACGAATGGATATAGAGTTCAAAACTATAGTCATAAGGTTTTTCAAGAACTTCCTAGAAAAGGCCAGTAAATTTAACAAGACCCTCAAGGATATGAAAAAGGACCAATCAGAAATTAAGCATACACTAACTGAAATAAAAATTATTATAGAGAGACCTAAAAGGAGACTAAAGGAACACAAAAGCCAAGTCAGAGATTTGGAATACAAAGAAGCAAAAAACACTCGACCCAAAAAGCAAAATTCAAAAAGAATCCAAAAACTTGAAGATAGTGTAAGAAGCCTCTGGGACAACTTCAAGCGTACCAACATCAGAATTATTGGGGTGCCAGAAAAAAAGAGAGAGCAAGAGACTGAAAACATATTTGAAGAAATAGTGACAGAAAACCTCCCCCACCTGATGAAAGAAATAAGACTTAAAAGTTCAAGAAGTGCACAGAACCCCAAACAAAAGGAATTCAAAGAGGACTACACCAAGACACATCATAATTAAAATGCCAAGAGCAAAAGACAAAGAGAATATTAAAAGCAGCCAGAGAAAAACAGTTACCTACAAGGGAGCACCCATACAATTATTCAGCTGATTTCTCAACAGAAATTATGCAGGCCAGATGGGAGTGGCAAGAAATATTCAAAGTGATGAATAACAAGAACCTATAACCAAGATTACTCTACCCAACAAAGCTATCATTTAGACACCAAACCAGAATTATATGGAATGCTAAAAGGTATTCTTTAAGAAGAGGAAGAGGAAGAAAAAGGTAAAGATAAAAATTATGAACAACAAATATATATCTAACAACAAGTGAATCTAAAAATCAAGTGAATTAAAAATCTGAGAAACAGAATAAATTGGTGAATATAAAAGAATCAGGGACATATAAAGGGAATGGACTGAAAATTTTCAGGGGGAAAGGTGCAGGAAGAGACTGAACAAAAATCATACACCTATGGATGAGGACAGTGGGGGGAAGTAAAGGCAGAGGGTGGGGTGGGAACCGGATGGAGGGGAGCTATGGGAGGGGGAAGAGGAACAATGGTAATAATCTGAACAATAAAGATTTGTTAAATTAAAAATAAATAAAAATAAATAAATAAGTGTAAACAAAAACAAAAAAAGAAACAACTCCCAATGTCTTCAATTCCAGATGTCAATTCTGGCTCAAGATACTAATCTCAAAAGAAAGGATATGAACAAATATATTTAGTTATAGATAAATTAAACATTAGTATCTCAGTATATATTTTCTTGATTAGTTCATCTAATTAAAAATGTACAACAAAGAAATAAATATAACAATACTCAACTCTTATTCATTATTGCTATTATACCCTGAATTAAATGCTTCAGACTCCACTCACCCGAGATTTCTAATTCTGCCCAGTGAGATTTTTTCCCATTGGCTACCTCCTCTGCTGACATGATGGTATAAATTTTGCGAGGATCTGGAGGATCATATTTTTCCTTTGGCATCCCTATTAGTCTGTAAAAAAGAAAAAAAAAAGTCATTAGAGTCTCATAAGAAAAAAGAGAAAAATGGGTAAGTTTTCTTTTTTGTCTCCCTTTGCCAGGTTACTAAGTGATTTTATACCACAAATTCTCACTAAAAGAAAAATACCTCTGAAGTATGCTAGGCTCTTACAGGAACTAGCAAAAGGTGTGTCGGGGGAAATTCAAACAAAAAATGACACTGAACTACACAATGAACATTGTAATAGCTTCCCAAACATTCATTCCATCCATTCCCTTTCATTTAGCTTCCTTGCTTTGCATGACAGACTGATCCTACACCAATTTTCTGAATGGACTCTTGACTAGTCCCAGAGAACCATGATAATCCCATCTTCTTTGCATCAGTGATATTCAGATATCCCATATCTAAGATAATCAACACATGACATTCCCCTATACACATAGATTAGTTGAGACATATACAGCGATCACAGAGTTTAAAACTCTTATATGTTGAAAAATTATATGTTATATAATGGGAGAATAAATATGTTGCTGAAAGTATTATAGATGTCCCCTCTCTTCTGCTGATTATAAAGGAGAATATATCCTAAATTGCTACTGGCAGCCATCCAAAGGGACGTCAGTCATAGATGTTGGAGCAAGTGGTTCTCAACCTTTCTTTGGCCATGCCCCACCTAAGCATATCTAAAATCCATGCTCCCTGCGCTGTGACATATAATTCTTATTATTCAAAAAGTGAACTCCCATTTACAAAGAAGCCTAAAAAGCCATTAACTTGGTCTAAACAAGCTTCCAAAGAAGAGAAAAATCCATGAAAGAGAAAAATAAAAGAGCATGTCACAATTTATATACTGTATATGAGGCCCCTAGAACCATAACAAATGCACACACAAAAAAAATTCAGTTAATAACTCATTCTCAAATTGCCCTCCTTAAAAATCAAATTGCCCACATTAGGAACCACTGAGTTAAGAGTCTAGAAAATATAAAAAGAAAGCCAGATTCCTCACCAATCCATACCTGTAGCACTTCCAAACACTGGACTCTTTGGGTACACAAGCCAATACATTTCATTTGTTTGAACTAGTCTGAGTTGTGTTTCCTGTTATTTACAATCAAAAGCTTAATAATTAGAGTGATCATGTTTCTTGGTTTCCGTGGGCCAGTCTTGGTTTATATCTGTTTGTTCTTAGATAATTAATATCAGCCCTTTTCACTCTCAAAAGTATCCAATTTGAATGATGAGTTACATGACGACCCTAATTGAAACTACCATAGAGTCTTCATGTATTAATAAAATAATCACAGAACAATCAAAAGTAATGACCAACGAGGCATAAAATTACACTAGTATGCATGTATGAAACAGATGACAAATGGTCCTAAAAGTAATTGTTTCAGGGGTCCAACGAAAGAATTACTGCTTGGTAATTGGTAGGGTGGAAAAATCCAGTTCAAATCTAACAATAATAGTAAATAACAAAGTCCTAAACCTAATTAAACTCACACACGTTATTAGTAAACTGCCTCATAGTATTTACACTTGCTCATATTTTTAACATACACACACAAACATATACACACCAAAACCAAGTGTCTAAATCTGGGAGTGTTTTTAAGTAGAATTCAGAATTATATCTCAATGGAAGAGTTATTTTCAGGGGGTCTGAAATTTGTTTAACACACACACACAGAGAAAATTACAGGTATTCTATCATGTTTCAAGAAATCAAAGTTAGTTTATAAGAGTACAAAGTTTCCCATACCATAAATTGTTCTTTTATTTCTAAAGATAAAATAGTTGATTTTCCCCCTTACCTTAAGGCAAAGAGAAAGTTTTCCAGATTTGTTCATCTGTTAACAGTAATTAGCTTCCAAGTTTCCATGTTAAGCTTTTCTGTTTTAATTTTATCATACAACTTGGGTGATACTAAACTATATTTTATTTCCCATACCTTATTATATCTCCCATACCTTCAAATAGCACAAAGAAGATCATTTTTCACATGGGAAAAACAATTTCTAACAAATTTAGCCTATGTAAAATACTTCTGAAAAAAAAATTTTAGATAACGTTTTCAAAATTTCTAGTGTGCACCATAAAGCACATATATCTTTCTGTGGGTATTTCTGCATTATAAGAGTCTACAAAAACACAAGATCAAAGCTAAATCAAACAGATCCAAATCCAAAGATATGCTACCAAATCCATTACCTCCAATGAGGAGGGGTAAAAAACACACTACAAAATTTGCAAAAACATATGTTTTTGCAAACTTTAAATCTTTTTTTAAGATTTTAACTTTAAATTAAAGTTAAAGTAACTTTAAATCTTTTTTATAAAGCATAAAGCAGCATAGGATTAGAGGTCAACTTAATTTGGCTGCTTTTTTTTTAATCCTCAGCTGAGAATATTTTTCCATTGATTTTTAGAGAGAAGGGAAGAGAGAGGGAAAGACAGAAATATCAGTGTGAGAGAACACATCGATTTGGTTGCCTCCTGCACGCACCTCTACCAGGGCCCACCTGCAACCGAGGTATGTGCCCTTGACCAGAATTGAACCTGGAACCCTTCAGTCCTCAGGCTGACGCTCTATCAACTAAAACAAACCAGCTAGAGCTAATTTAGCTATTTTAATTATGGTCTCTCACTAGATGGTATGTTTCCTTCTTTTAAAAAAATTTATCTTTATTGTTGAAAGTATAATAGATGCCCCTTTTCCCCTCTAATGCCCCTCTCCACCTTGCTCCCATCCCATCCCCAGGCCTTCCCCAAACTACTGTCCGCCATGGGTTATGCATATACATTCTTTGGTTAATCTCTTCCTGCCACCCCACTCCTCTTCCCTCTGAAATTCGTCAATCTGTTGAGTACTTCAATGTCTCTGGATCTATTTTGTTAGTTAATTTTGTTCATTAGATTCCACATATAAGTGAGATCATGTGATACTTGTCTTTCTCTGACTGGCTTATTTCCCTTAGCATAGTACTCTCTAGGTGCCTCTATGCTGTCTCAAAAGGTAAAACATCCTTCTTTTCTTACAGCTGCATAATATTTCATAGACAGTATGTTTCTTAAAGGGACTGTGAGTTTTTTCTGTGCTGAAGCATATCCTTTTTATATCTCTATATAGTTCCTACCAGGGCACTTAATATGTATTTATGGAATGTAATCCTAAAATCTACCACTTCTACCACCCTTGCCATCTCACAGCCAACTAACAGACAATACTTTTCTAAAAATTAATCTCAAGAAAAGGTAATAAATTCAAATGTTCCATTTCCCTAAACATTTTAATAATCTTTTCTAGCCCTCTAATTCTAATCTTAAAACAGCTACTATATAAAACTATATATTTTTAAATAAATACAAGTTTACAACTTTAAGAGTACATTAAAATTTACAAAATCTGTTTCTGCAAGACACATCCACAAAATGTTTATGAAAGTCTATAATATGTAAAAACCAAAGTAATATTAATACTGCTATATAAGGGCTAGTCAGAGGTCTCATTTGATTAGGAAGCCAATAAAAATACTAGTTACTTAATTTTTCAAAGTGAATCTAGATTTGGATAACCTGACTGAAGCTAAAACATTTTTCATTTGGATTAACTAAGTGATTTAGTAGAATCTATATATCGGGTCTAGTAATAATTAATGTCGTTTTTTAACATTCGTTTAAAATCTTGCTTGGCGTTGACTTGTATTGACATTACCTTCAAACACGTGGTATCTACAGAACGTGTGAAGTGCAATTAACAAGTTTTGCTTGAAAAAGTTTGTGTTTGGTTTGGTTTTTGTTGCAAAACTAGGGCTAAGAAGATGGCGGATGAAGAGCATATTCGGCACTGCATGCTTTACGAGTTCCAATTAGGAAGAAAAGCAAGTGAGGCTGCAAAAACCATCTGTAGTGCTCTTGGTCAAGATGCAGTTAGCGCCAGAAAATGCCAGCGTTGGTTTGAGAAATTTCGCGAGGGAAATTTTTCGTTAGATGACAAGAGTGGTCGAGGCCGTGTGTCCAATTTTGATCAAGAAGCTCCTCAAGCTCTTTTGGTGCAAAATCCTCAAATTACCCAACAAGAGCTTGCGACAACTTTAAATTGTTCACAAAAAACAATTTCCAATCAATTGCGTGCACTTGGCAAAGTCCAAAAGTTTGGAAAATGGGTTCCTCATGAGTTGACCGACAACAACCATAATCAAAGCGTCACAATTTGCAGTTGGCTCCTCTCTCGTCAAAACCGTTTGCGGTTTTTAGAGCAAATTGTTACCGGAGATGAAGAATGGGTGCTGTATGTTAATTTGAAAAGGCGGCCTCAATGGTTGGACAAAAATGAGGCTCCGCAGCCCACGCCAAAACCTGACTTGCATGCAAAAAAAGTGATGTTGTGTGTTTGGTGGAATTTTAAAGGAATTCTTCATTATGAACTTTTACCATCTAACCAACCATTACAAGTGCAGTGTATAGTGTCCAATTGGAAAGGTTAGCCCAAGCTTTAAGAGAAAAAGAACCCGTGCTGATTAATCAGAAGGGCGTAATTCTTCACCACGATAACGCACGACCGCATACTGCAAGAATCACTGCTGAAAAACTGCGCCAGTTGGAATGGGAAGTTCTCCCTCAACCTGCATATTCTCCTGATATTGCTCCTTCCGATTACCATTTGTTTCGTTCTTTGCAAAACTTTCTTCTTGGAAAAAAATTTAATAATGAAGAATGTCTCAAAAATGCATTGACCGAATTTTTTGCATCAAAATCACAAGAATTTTACGACAGAGGGATTAAAATGCTTCCTGAGCGTTGGGCACAAGTAGTAGAAAACAACGGCAACTATATTGTTGATTAAATTTTGTTGTATTGTTTAAATAAATTCGATTTTAAAAAGTATTACAAAACGACATTAATTATTACTAGACCTAATAGTTCCAGAAATCACTATTGTCCCAAACATGAAGTTTTCAAATGTGCTACTTAAAAGTTTAGAGAACTCAAATTTAGAAAAT